GTCGTGCCGAACCTGCTTGACGTGCTGAAGCTCGGCGGCCAGGTGTTTGCTGTCACAGATCCCTCTTGCTCTCTGTAACAAAGATTTGGCCACGGTAGCTATCTGTGAAGGATGATGGTGAGATCCGCCGTTTAATTATAGGTTTGTATGGGTTTTCTTCTATACACAGTGCGACCTAGACTAACACTAAAAAAATGTAGTCTATGACCCTGTCACTCTTACTACCTGATAAATAAATATATATTATAGCGAGGTACTAGAGTGCACACAAGATAACTCTGCGCGCGGCAAAAATTGAAACTAATTGTGTACCGCCATATTATTACTGTTTATGGAAGGTGTCCAAACTGAGTGTTAGGTGTCGTGTTTTTATTAGTTTTGCAGTAAATAATCGTTATCATTATGCCGAACGTGATTAAAAGTCCTTGCAGGGATATTATCTTAAAGGTCAAACGTGCTTGTGAAAAAGAAGGAGACAATAACGGGCCTACAGTACCGTTTTCCACCTCCAGTGCATGGGCCAACGCGTCCTTAAGCGTCTCGTGGTGCCCGAGCCTCACAGCAGCTCTGACTCCAAGGTCGCGGATGCCGTCAATGAATGTCTGCACCAGGTTCCCTACAATGAGCGCAGGTACAGACTGGTATGCTTTTCGAACCAGCATCTCCACCTCAAAGGCCCACTGCTGCAGGTTTTCGTTACTGCATTGCACGCGATCTTTGACCTGCGCACGAAAGACGTGTTCCAGGTGAGCGTCGCCATATCTCGCCTCCAATGCCTCAAGGAGCTGCTCGTAAGTCACTTCCTTACCGAGAGCTTCCAGAACAGTTAAAGCCTGATCGCATAGGCCTAGGGTGAGAGCAGTCATGGCCTGACTTTTATTCCAGCCGTTTGACTCTGTACATTTTTCTCTGCAATGCGCCTCTTTATTATTGCTTAAATTTTTTAGATGGTATTTAAATCGCAGTGGTAAGTAGATAAATCGAGAACCTCATGTCCATGTTAATTTAAGGTGACAGCTCCAGGGTGGCCCGCGAAATTCAAATTTTCTTACGTTTTTTGCAATTTGTAGGTGAGTGTCAGGTTGTACGTTCGGCTTCCACCACGATTAACGCAGGATTATCGTTCCTATCGTGTCAGGGAGGTTGCAGCGGCTACAGTTCGCGACCGCAATAAAGGATACAGCCCTAGGTGCTACAGCTGTGGGGAAAGGGGCCATCTTCGATCCAGTTGCCCTAAACAAACTGTAGAATGGGAAGGTGATCGATTTCGAGAGGGTAGTGTGGCTAACAGCACCGCCCAGCAGCAGCAGGGAAACTGGCGGGTGATGACTGATGTTAGAAGAGGTACTCCTAAGAGTGTCCATGTGGATCGACTGGCGCATTATTATGGGGCCAATAATGCTCGGGACGTTTAATACTCTGCGTATAGCTACTGTGCACAATATTGTTGCGCGCCACTGTTAATGTCTTGTACATGGCAACACTAGTTAACACTAGCGCCCTCTAGTATCGAGTGGCAGAACTAGGAGAATCAAGATCCTTCTAGAAATTTCGGGACCGATATGTACTCGAATATACTAGATGTATCTACAGTAGAAGGTGCTGGAAACTATCTGAGGCCCTATATAAGGCCGGTATAGACCGCGACATCGACTGAGTATTGAATTGGCGATACAAGAGAATACTTCGAAGCGAAATAACTGCGAACTAAAGTGATCAGTAGAACAATTGTTTTATTATTAGTGTGGTTTTAGATTGTAATTAGTATTCTGTAATTAAAGTGTCAATTTTGGTAATTCAATCGGCAGTTTTTAATTTTCTAGAACCCCAAGCTCGTAGCAAAATATTTATATATTTAAGTTAAGGTCCCGTCTTTGTGTAAAGGCCGCCTCCATCTTTGCCCACTCTTTCTGGTTTTGTGTTATTGTTAACCAGTTTTTCCTTGTTTTCATTTGCCTGTTGGTCCCGTCCACATGGTTGCCTGTGTAGAATTACACCATTTTGTATCAGTGAATCGTGCTACATGGCCTGTCCACTTCCACTTCAGTTTTTCGAGAGTAATGTAATACGTCTATTACTCTAGTTTTCTTGCGAATGTCGTTGCTTTTGTGTTTGACATTTAGTTTTAGGTTTAGGATACTTCTTTCCATTGTACGTGTGTCATGTGACATGTTTGTATTTTAATCTTTGTTTGTCTGTTGAAGATCCATGAAGATAAATGGCCTTGGTAGTAGTTTTTTGAAAAAGTACTCAGTTCTGTTTGTATAGTGCGTCCATGGCTACTACCTGCGTGATATGTATACCTACAATCGTACTGAAACTCAGGATACGCAATAAGGGCTAGCGCGTTTTAGGCGAGCTACGTATTAGGGTATTTCAATGTTTTTTTAACACTGTTTATACATATTAGATTTTTTTTGTATACTTGTATAAATAATTTTGTTTGATATTATTTATAGGATAAAATAATTACATAAGTTTATGTGCAATCTACATGTGTTATGTTTATTATTGAAAATACAACCTTTGACAATTTTGAAAACATAATAATGAAAAATCCAGCAAATCATTCATTAAAACTATTTACGAATATTAATTTTACCACTCCGGGTATTCCCTCTCAATATTTACTTAAAATTATACGTCAGTACAATTAAGCGATGCCGCCGCCCACTTAGGTATTGACGCGACCAGCTTGTATATTAGGGGTTGTCACGAAAATGGAAATAAAATAATTTTGGATATCATAATATTCATTATCGTTTATTAACATTATGTACATACTTATAAGTTAAAAATATTTATCGAACAAGATAATTTTTATTACTACAAGAAAAACCACATTTTTTTTTCCACAACTATCACACAACGCCATCTAGTCCCAAGCTAAGCAGAGCTTGTGTTATGGGTACTAGACAAATGATAAACATACTTATATATTTCTAAATACATAAATATTATAGATAAATTACACCCAGACACAGAACAAATGATCGTGCTTATCACACAAACATTTGTCCTGGGTGGGAATCGAACCCACGACCTCCAGCGTAGCAGTCAGGGTCACTAACCACTAGACCAACAGGCCAGTCATTTACAAGTGTTAACGAAAAAAAACGACAACAGCACATGAATGCTTTTGTTGTTTGGCCAATTAATACAACATTTTAAAATATCTGGGGGCACGGCAGTGCCCCCGCCAAGTCGAGCAAAAAAGGGGCACGGCCGTACCATCCTTATCTCGAAGCAGTTCAGGCCATTTTCGAAACTCGTTGTGGATAAAACTAGAAGCCTGAATTTTCAGTAACTAAGTAGGCATTGTATAAACTGGATATTTTTCAAATTTCATGTAATTTGAACCAGTAGTTTAAGAATTAAAACTAGTCAAAATTTCTCAATTTTGTCACTCACTGACTGACCGATCATCAAAACTCTAAGGCACTTCTAGCAGACATAGAAGCTTCAATTTTGGAATACAACTATTGTTTAGTATATAAATCAAGGAAAAATTAAAATATTTTACAATTTCGTTCCAGTTTTCGAGATACACCAACTGCATAAATAACTTTGTAATCCCATATAAATATATAGGATTACAGAGTTACATTTACAGTGAATGAATCCGTGTTCTTATATATTATGTGTAATATAATGAAATAATAGTTGTAGATAGGTACCTAGAAATAACTATCTACAAAAAGAAATGAGATGCCATCAAAAACGTAACTTGTAAAAAAAAACCAAGTCTCGCAACTCAGTTCTTCTACCGTAAAAAGTTGTGAGATCCATGTAATACCAAGTCAGTTAATTTATTCAGTCCCTACTTAAGGGTCCTTCTCTCTTAAGTTATTACGTAATTAGATAGGTAACATAACAATATCTTAAAGTGACCACATCAATATTAAACATCTTTTATGTTTTAAATAAATAAATTGACTTGGCAATCGCACTAAACAATCTAATTTAATATAATATGTATTACTTGAGAGATACATTGCGTTTTCATGCGATGGCCAAGTCGATTTATTTATTTAAAACATAAAAGATTTTTAATATTGATATGATCACTTTAAGATGTTATTATGTTAGCTAATTACGTAATAACTTAAGAGAGAAGGACCCTTAAGTAGGGACTGAATAAATTAACCGACTTGGTATTACATGGATCTCACAACATTTTACGGTAGAAGAACTGAGTTGCGAGACTTGGTTTTTTTTACAAGTTATGTTTTTGATGGCATATCGTTTCCTCTGCTCTGTGGATGTATTTAATTCCTCTATAGGACAGTTACCACAGAGTACTTTTTTATATAGGAAAAGAGCACCCTTAGGCCGGCCACATACATACGGAATTCCGTTTCGGGATTCTGTTTCGATATTCCGATTCGGGATTCCGAACGCAGCAAGTCCATATAAAATCTGACCCGCCACACACGTACGTTATTTTTCCGTACGGAATTTCTACAATTCGAGATTCCGTATAATCGCCTGTGCGTTCGGGGTCCCGAACGGAAAAAAGCCGCTCCGAACGCACGTCTTCCATAGATTTTGTACGAGTCGCAACTCGCAACACACATACGTAAATTCCGTACGGAATGCGCTGTGTTCGTCGCACGACCGAAGCGAGTAGGTGTATTTATGTATGTTTTTACATTTAATCTTGTAGGTGTATAGCTTTTCTTTTTGATCTTTTTACATAGTATTGACTATATTACAAGCTTAGGGTGATAAGGGGATGCACCTAGTAAGAATGATATAGCAACAATGGAATTTGCAATTAGAAAATCGTCGTCATTATTCGCTGGCAGAATGTCTAGACTCAATGGTTTCGTCTCTCAACTGACCCTTGTTATTCCGAACGGGAAAAAACGTGTATGTGTGTGTGATGTATTCACGGATTCCCGATTCAGGATTCCGAAACGGAATTCCGTATGTATATGGCCGGCCTTAACCGTTATTACTATTATACCCCGCCTAAGGGTATTAGTGTTCTGTTTATTATACTCTTTGATATTTTATCTGTGCTGTGGTGTGCTATCCATTTCCAATATTATTGCGATTGTAATTTTATTAAAATTAAAATGTTCAATTTTCGTAAAGTTACGACAAATATAACGTAGTCTCTAAATTCTAAAAATTTACGAATTAATATTATGAGAATCAATTACATACAAGGCGATGATTATTTAACCTGTTTTTAACGCATGCATTCGTAAATATTTGAGTAAAATCTTAATTTTTAACCATGGCAGATAAAATAAGGTATGTATATTGATTTTTCTGTATTCTTATGTTTACAGCTTCTATGAATCCACAGCTGACTGAATTGCAGGCATTTTCAAAATATTGAATCTTATATACTCACGACGCATGCTGCCACACGGGTCCGTAAGTGTCGAGAACACTCACGTACTGGTGATTCCTAAATTCAGTTATTTAGTTCTCTTTGTATTTTTAAATAGATTTGCTGCAGTTTGACGCCGACCTAAACTCACTGTATAGCTTGATGGTTAGAGCACATAAACAGCAGTGCACAAATCCTGGTTTTTAATTGAACTGATGTTAAAATTTCCACTAAAGCATATTTTTGAGTTTTAGCCTTGATGAGTTGTAATACATCATGCCCTTGTCTTTGACACTCATATTGCTAGCTTATATATTGTGTGCAGATGTTGTCTTACTTATACGGAAGGTTTTGTTTTAAAACTGCAATAAAAACTTCAATGCAATATGTTGCTGAGGAAAAAAATCAATGTGTACTTTCTATTTAAAAAAAAAAATGTTTGTTAAATATTGATAATTTTATAGATAAATTATTCAATAATTCAATAAAGTAAACATTTACTATTATATTCCACATGGATATAAAAAGTACAAGTCAGGGAGACAACAACAAACACATGTCATTGTTACTAGTGATGGTTAAATAGGATGTCGCATTCCTAATAAAAAGGGATTCCGGTACTCATCACTCACCATACAGAATACAACATTATTCTGCTTATAACATGTATGGTTGTAGCTCTATCATGTAAAATATTGTTATATTTTATTTATGTTTCAGAGTTAATACAAAGTTTGATCTTCAGGGAGATTATGAGCCATCAGATTCTGAAAATGAATACTCAGCAAAAGAAAAGAAACTTATGGATAGGTTACGAAAAAGGAAACATGATGAATCAGGAAGTGAAGAAGAAATTTATGCATTTTCAGAGTCAGAAGAGGAAGATAATAATAAAAATGATTTAGGTATAGCAGATAGTGATGTCGAGGGTCAAGAAAATTCTGATGATGACTTACCTGATGCAAAAGCATGGGGTAAAAAGAAAAGATCTTATTATTCTACTGATTATGTGGATGAAGATTATGGTGGTTTTGGTGATGATGAAGAAGATGCTTTAATGGAAGAGCAGGAAGCGAAGAATATCCAGAAAAGACTAATTGAACAACTTGGAGAAGAAGATTTCTCAATGGAATTTTTTAATTCACAGATTACTGTAAGTGATATAAAGGAAACAGTAGTAAAAAGTGATTTAAGTCAAATGTCAAAAAAGCAAAAACTGCAAATACTCGAAAAGGAAAGTCCAGAGTTTGCTGGTCTTATTGATGATTTTAAAACTAAATTAACTGTCGCAAAAGATGATTTGCATCCTGTTTTAGAACTCGTTAAAGGGGGGAAATTCCCTAAATGTCCAGCATCTAAATTTATAAAAACTAATTATGATCTTATTTTAAACTATTGCACTAATATCAGTTTTTACTTGCTTCTAAAGAGTCAAAGAATAAATATTCAGAATCATCCTGTCATTAAAAGACTATATCAGTATAGACAAATGCTTAATAAAATGGAACCTATTTATTTAGAGGTGATAAAACCTCAAATAGAGAAAATATTACTGGCAGTTAAAAATAATTTAGAGCTTACTGTGAAAGACAAAAATAAAGAAGGCAAGAAACGGAAAACGGACAGGCAGTCATCTGAACATGTACCTAAGAAACTTAAACTGATAAATGCATTAGAAAAGGATGATGGTGAAGACACTGGTGTATCAGATGATGATGACACTGCAGAGGATCAACAAACTGACGAGTTCTTAAAACCATATTCTTCCAAAAGTGTGCAAAGAAATATTAATGAGTCAGAGGAGAGTGGCTTTTCAGACAATGATGTAGTAGAAAATGATGATAACAAACCATCTACTTCCTCTACAGAGGCCATTACTGATGACCTTGGAGAAAAACGTGAAATAACATACCAAATTGCTAAAAACAAAGGCCTTACACCCCATAGAAAGAAGGAACAAAGAAACCCAAGAGTAAAACATAAACTAAAGTATCGTAAAGCAAAGATCAGGAGGAAGGGTGCAATTCGAGAACCACGATCAGAAATATCAAGGTATGGTGGTGAACCATCAGGAATAAAAGCAAATGTTAAAAAGAGTATAAAAATTAAGTAGCAGTAAACACATGAATTAATTTATAATAATGAAAACACATTATGTAATAAATTGATTTATTTCAAAAATAAACTGTTTAATGTAAACTGTATTTTTAATGTTGCCACCTGTAACAATGAAACATTCATATGTAAGTTACTTTTATATTACAAAACTCAGGTTTAAATGTATCTTCAATTTCAAAATAAACAGCAAAAAAAGTAATTATACTTACAATTTTAATACTTTATCTTTTCCACCTGAAGCTACATAAGCTCCATCAGGAGACCAATCTACAGCAAACACTTCATCAGCATGTCCAGGTAAATCAAGCTCAAGCTTTTTTGTTTTCATGCTCCAAACTAAAATATTTGATATAAGTAAATGTTCACCAGTTTTAATAAATATATTTTACAGCTTATAAATTTATCTTCAAGTCAGCTAAACTTAGGATTCGTTTTTTCTGGATTTGCCCATATGAGGTATAAAACAAACTTACTTGGTTTAGCTCAAAACTAAATTTAACTTTAGCGAGCTAATCTTAACCCATTCACTGTCCCGCATATTACATATCATTCATTGCTATTGTCTTAACTATTGTCTGAAAATCGGTCAGTGAAAGTGTTAAGTTTACTACTTACACTAATTAGCCGCAACATGTACCATACATATTAGAGACCAAATATAATTATATTATGACACCATACTTATTACCTTCTTGGCAGTGAATGCACTACTGTGTTCCTGACCAGTGTGTGTTGTGTCTGAAGAGTGTATTGAGCCAGTATGATTATTGTGTGTGGGGCATTCCATTTTACTCCTCAAAAGTACAATGCATCTGTAGCTTTCTTTGTTTCAAGTTGGTAACAGGTCATGGACTGCAGTAGCCATTTACCTTCAGGTAGACTGTAGTTTGTTTGTCATTTCAATATTATAAAGAAAAAATATATAATTGTAATTTACAAATGACATTTAAGATAATACCTTTTAAAGTAGAATCAGCACTAGAGCTAAGAAGTAGTCTTGAGTCTGCTGACCACGCTACCATATAAACTGCTTGCACATGTCCTCGGAGTGTGGTAATAAATTTTCCTGAAGCTGCTTCCCACAGCTTGACTGATTTATCAAATGATGCTGATGCTATAATTCTGGAAAATGGAACTTGTGTTAAACGGTACATAGTACAGTGCAATAACATAGTAAAACGTAATAATATCATAAACTATTGATGAAAGAAGAATGAATTTTTTAAGGAATGGAATTAACTCTGATTACATAGAAAGTAATTAGTTTTATACAGTAATCTATATGTTTAATAAATCTGAAGAAAAGATGCTAAAATTACCGGACTTCCATGTTCTTGAAAAAAGCTTTATGAACGTAGTACTCGATCAATATATGTATAAGTGGTATGGATTTTGTTGAAAATTAAATTGATGTTCATCTTATTTTAATTTTATAGCTGGTATCAGAATAGTTAATACATTTTACAATAATCCTGGTGATGTTTAATTGTTTTGTAATCATTAAACATACCAAGAATTCATGTCAGTTTTAATACTCTGCGTATAGCTACTGTGCACGATATTGTTGCGCGCCACTATTAATGTCTTGTACATGGCAACACTAGTTACCACTAGCGCCCTCTAGTATCGAGTAACAGAACTAGGAGAGTCAAGATCCTTCTAGAAATTTCGGGCCCGATATGTACTCGAACATTCTAGATGTTTCTACAGGAGAAGTTTCAGGAAACTATATAAGGCCGGTATAGACCAAGACTGAGTCAGTATTGAATTGGCGATATAAGCGAATACTTCGAAGCGATACAACTGCGAACTAAAGTGATCAGACAATTGTGTTTTATTATTAGTGTGGTTTAAGTTGTAATTTGTGCTCTGTAATTAAATTCGATTTTGGTAATTCATTCGGCAGTTTTTAATTGTCTCGAACCCCAAGCTCGTAACAATATCATCAGTTGATGCATATACAAACTATTAATATTTAAATTATCCGACACTATACTAGTCAGTTTGAGCGAGATTAGAATGGCTTTCCAGCACTTAAAACGGTAAGGTCCCAGGCCTAAAAGCAGGGGAAAAATCCAGTACTTGAAGTCCTTCACAAGCTTTTCAACTTCGTCCTCCGTGGTGGCACTACTCCGGAAGCGTAGAGAAGTGTGGTGGTCTTGTTCTTCAAGGCGACAAGACCCTGTTGAAGAACTACAGTCCGTTTACCCTTCTGAGCCGCGTTTTCGAGTCTTGATGGGGACGAGACTTGACGACTTCCAGTCTCCTAAACGAACCGGTGTCCGAAAAGGCTTTAGTGTCATAGACCATATACATAACGTTCGTCAATTTGTTCAAAAGAACAAAGAGTACAATCTGCCACTTTGTGATGCGTATGTGGACTATGAGAAAGCCTTATATGCCGTTGAAATTTGGGCGGTGCTACAGTCCCTTCAGCAGTGCCAAGTGAACTGTCGGTATAGCGAAGTGCTGAAGTGTTTGTACAGTAGGGCTACGATGGCTATCCGATTATAGAACCAGATTACGAAACCTATACAACTGCAGAGAGGTGTAAGACAGGCTCATGATGTATACCCGAAACTCTTCACCTCTGCATTGGAAGACGTTTTCAAGCTACTGGACTGGAAAGAATACGGTATTAACATCAATGACATCTGAGTACATCAATGAGTACATCACTTACCTTCGATTTGCCGACGATATAGTCTCTATAACAGAAACGCTGGAGGACCTAATCACTATGCTCAATGATCTCAATAATGTCTCCCAATGAATAGGTCTTAAGCTGAACATGAACAAGACAAATATCACGTGTGATGTATATGTCACACCTATGCCAATAGTTGTTGGGAACACCTAGGACGTATAGTAGGAGAAGGTAAGCCCAACTTCGACCAAGAGGTTGAAGTTTATTTTTAGCTTTCCATTTTACTCATAAAGAATTAATCCCGAAATTCTAATTTTAAACTTCATGTCTGTGTTAGGTCTAGGTAACTGCAAGTTATAACTATAACAAATTACAATCACATGTGAAGTAATCTCCGAAAGGGATATTTGTTTGTGACAGATAGTCAAGATCGGTTGGACAGACTAAGAGTACTTTTTTATATACTGGAATGACAGAATGAGGTCATCCCAAAAGATTTCCGTTTTGACACGGAGCAATAATGATGTTGGTAAAGCGAAATACACGCGAGCAAAGCTGCGAGAAAAGCTGTTATACAATTTTTTACTAATAAAAAATAGTTGTATTGACATTCATTGGTATAACAGAAAAGAGATCTTTAAAAGCGATTATTTAGCGGTAGCGATCATGAAGTACCGAGTTTGATATCCTGGGTCGAGCAAAAAAAATATCAGGTATTGAGTTTTTCTATTAATCTAGAAATTTTCAGTACCTGCCCAGAGTTAAGAAGTTGGCGGTGTTTCACCCCCGTGCCTTGTAAAGCACGTATTAGTCCTGCACCTGATCTTTCTCCGGTCGTATCCGTTTACCGTCCCATCGGACTATCAGAGTGAGCAAATACAGAGTGCACCTGTGCTTGCGCATACATTTGGGCACTATAATCCTGTCCTGCGTAGATGGCTAGTGTCCGTTTAAGCTGGCCGCCGTGACCGAAATCCTGTTTGGAGGACATTATTATGTATGCATTTTATCAAGCATCGGATTCTTCGGCATCGTAATTTGCTGGGCTATCCACTCCAGTTAACATTAAAATTTGCAATATATGAATAGGGATACTCAGCATGCAACAAAGGCATTTTGTATGGAAGAGTGGGCAAACGTGCATGCGGCTTACCTGATGGTAAGTGAGGAATAATAGGTGCGTTGCAGCTTTTTAAAAAGGAGTAGATTCTTGTCCCTAAATCGTATCGACTTAGAAAAATCGATGGTAGTAGCTTAGTCGTGAAAGGAGGAAAACTTCTAGTAAATCGCACAGTGGTGGACCGTCAAGGATCCACATGGTGTAGATGGTATCGCGAATTTTGTTGCAATATGCACTTTGTAAATGCGATAGGAAATATAAATGTATGTCATACTATTCATAACATTCTCTTTGCAGACTACTGGTCTGAGACCAGTGAGTTGAGCCGATTAGGAATAGAAAGAACTCGGTCGTTGACGATTCGGGCCGTTAATTTCTGGATGCGATCAATTAGAAAGAGCTGACACTGGGGCGCCCCGACCCAGAGATTAGAATTGTATTCCATGTGAGGTCGTAAATTTGCAAGGTTTGTGCCGGCATGACATACTTTCGCATTTAAGCTAATCAGAAGTCAATTTGTCCTTAACTTCCAAGAGATCACAACTGAACATCATTAGATATGTCGACGCTCTGAAATTAAGTAGTTACGACAAATGGGGATTTTTACCGGACTGAGTGACGCAAAGGAGGGTATATATGTATGTATGTATGTTTGTTCCTTTGCGGACGCTCTGAGACCAAACGCGTGGACCAACTATGATGATCTTGTCAGTATAGCAGCTCGAATTGTCGACGTCCGAGTTCTTTCCGATCGGCTTGACTCAATGGCACTGCGAAGAGATGTTGCATCTCTTTGCGTATTTTATCACATTCACCACGGGGAATGCTCTGAGGAGTTGTTCAGACTAATTCCAGCCACCCAATTTCACCATCGCACATCACGACAAAACTCGCGATACCATCCGTACCATCTAGATGATTGGCGGTCTACCATTGTGCGATTTAGAAGAAGTTTTCTTCCTTGCAGAATCGACTCCCACCAGAGATTTTTCCGGACCGATACGACTTAGGGACCTTCAAGAAAAGAGCCTACTTGCCTAGTTGCCGGCCTTTTTTAAAAGGTCGGCAACGCATCTGAAATTCCTCTGGTGTTGCAGTTGTTTATGGGCGGCGGAAGTCACTTACCATCAGCTGAGCCGCATGCTAGTTTGCCCCCTCTGCTATAAAAAAAAAATACATAACTAAGAATATGACAGTAATTAAAATTCAAACCCGACGAAAAATTGTGAAAAGAAAATAATGAAAGTCGGCGAACTATAACAAGTGGGGTAAATCATTGAATAAGTCTTTGAAAATCATCTTTAGCTTCCTCTGATCATTTTTCATTTTCTACCGACTTCAAAAACGAGGAGGTACTCAATTCGACTGTATGTTCTTTTTTTAATATGTGTTATCTCATAACTTTTTTCTATGTAAACCGATTTCATTGATTCTTTTTTTATTTAAAAGCTGGTGCTTCTCATGTAGTCACATATAAATTTGACCAATGTCTGACCAATAGTTTTGAGTTTTGAGTTATCCTTAATAATTTGTATTGAAGTCGGTTGCACAATATTTTTAATTCTAAATTATGAATGACTATTTAGAATCTATAACGACTTAAATTTGGTTAGCAACCATTCTCACTTAAATTTTCAAAACTTTTAAAAAGCTGTGATAAAGTTGTTATATAAAAAAGTTGGCGTTATGAGTAAATTAATTCCCCTTTGGGGTTTTTTAAACAGTATCTAACCATTAGGCTAGTTCTGTAACTTGTTTTTTCTGAGGTTTAAAATGGACTAGATTTAGTCGCCCGTTAACCCCGATTTTTATTCAACTAAATTACAGACAAAAGTTTGTTCCAGCACTCTACTGAACATGCTAATCTTTCAGAGGCCAATTTGGCAATTTGGTTACCGAGTACTAAGGCTAAGTGTAAGCTGTGTATATTATAATGCTATTCAATAAATGTTCTCCTAATACTATTATAAAACTATGACTATTGAGTAATGTACCTTGTATCAGGGGAAAATTTTACATCATTAATGAGTTGCTGATGCCCTGTCATTCTGGCAAGTGGCCGCTTTTCTTGCTGAGGAAGCCATAAAAATAGGGTAAAGTCATCTGAACCTGATACTAAACGCTCTGCACCTTGGGGACATGCTTGCTCATACCTTTCAATCGCTCGTTGTTGTAGAACTTTTTCTGAAGCAAATATAATTTTGTGAATAACTTCAAAAGATTTAAAAGGTCAGTTTAAATATTAATTAAAATGTTAGTAAGAATAATACTACTTACTATCTGTAGTTGGTTCATTTCTGTCAAGTATAGGGTGATATGGACCAGTTCTTAATACATAATCAGTGCTGAGAGCCAATGTATTTACCCAATGAGCATGTCCTTCTAAAGTTCGACAGAGAACTCCATCTTCAGCTCTCCACACCTAAAATGTTAAATAATTATAAGTTATACTTTTCTAGCATTATTTATACATGGGCTTGTTAAAACTGTACCTTGATAGTTCTATCCTGGGAAGATGTGTAAATGAGACCACTACCTCCCCATTTTACAGAAGTAACTGCTTTTGAATGTCCTGTCAAACTTAGTATGGTTAAGCATGTAACTGTGTCCCAAATTCTAACATCTCCATCTTTGGAAGAACTAGCCAACTTACGACATTCTGAATTTCTGAAAAAATAAATTAATAACTACATACATAATCATATAATTTAAGCATTACATAATTATAGAAAAAAAAATTTAATAATTAAAAATCATCTAATAAAAACATATTACATAATTCAGATTAAGTAAAACAATGATGAGTTTTATACATTTACTTTAAATATGGTTCCCACGCTAAAGCTGTGACCCACTGCTTGTGCCCCATCATTGTTTTCCCAATCTGATTCCCAGTGATTGGATCCCATAGGATTATTCTGCCTTGTTTGCATGCTGAAGCTAATTTAGAACCATCTGGAGACCAGCTTATACAGAGCACCCAGTTTGTATGACCTAAAAGTATACAGAATTAAAATCAATAACTTTTCAAATGTAGAACATATTTAATACTACCATAACTGTGCTAAGCTATGCTAGATCACAGTTAAATGGCATATAGACCATGATAAAATAGCTTGTTTAGCCTTTAATAGAAGAGAACAGGAAAAGAAGTTTTATAATTGGACATATTCCCCAAAAGAGAACCAACCCACAAAAAGCTAATTGAAGATACTGATGTTTGAAGTTTGTCAGTGGTTTGTTTGATTGGTATAGAGTGAAAATGGCTTGCTTTGAATTGCTTTTTTTGTCTGTTTTGCCTCTTATTTATAATCTAAGTATGGGCTACATGCTTTGTGTACTTTTGTCCAATTGCTCACACACTGTCGAAATATTTGGTATAATGGTGTTTAACATACCATGTACAAGTACTTTCTCGACAGAAACAAAGTTCCATTCAAACATTTCTCTCAAACAACATAATATTATTGTCTCAATGTTTAAAACATGTTTAAAGGGTTGGATCATTATTTTTTAGCTAGGTTCAATTATAAATTGAATTTCAACTATTTGTTTATGTAAGATTTTTGTCTATAATTTGTTATAAAAAAATCACCTTTACATACATGTAGCGGCGTCTGTGTATTTAAATCCCAAAATCTAACAGTGGTGTCTCCAGAACCGCTAGCTAACTGTTTGCCTGATGGACTAAAACTTGTTGATATCACTGCTTCAGCATGTCCAGGGATAGAGCTGTAAAAGAGTAATAAGTATTATAATATTTGACATAAGTGAAGATAGGGAGAATCATGGAACTTTTTGGTAAAATTGATACAAGGTATAGTTTTTTTTACGTTGGTTTCTTTCTATTGGAGATAGGTTTCAGGCAAAATTTGCCTGTCAATTTGGCTTTTTAAATGCAGGTCATTTATTGGATTTCATCATGGTAGTGATTCGTGTAAAATATCCATAAATTATACACCTAACGACGTTGTATGTAGTAGCGATACCCTGTGGCCTCCCATGGATGTCATAAAGGGCAACAGAGGGAAAACTAATTAGGAGATGGGCAGCAGTTTCCTGATAAACACTGAAAGAAGTTTTTCTTATTATTAAAAAGAAAATTGGAAAGGTCGATCTCCAGCAGTGAAGTGGGAATTATTAGTTGTAGTTGGGTGGTTGACACAATCATTATATAATTTAAATTTGCTACTTTAAGTAGTGGCAGTTTTTAAGTTAAATTACATTAAATAAAAGAAATTTCATGGATTTTTTTACATTTAATTTAAACTTTTTAATTCCTGACGTTTTGGATGCTTTACAACACCCATGGTCTCTGGAATGGATAAAGGGTCACAGTGGATCCTGGGGCTATGATGCAGCAGACGAAGTGGCCAGAAAAGGTTCGGTTCTTGCCACTATAGGGCCTGAACCAATCATACCAATCCCCTTTGGTAATGTTTGTTCACTGGTATGTAAAAATCACTAATCATCACAGTCAGTTTTGGAAAATTCTAGTAGACTGTAGACAAGGTAGGGAGGCCCTGCCTGAAATAAACAGTTGTATAACCAAGGTTCTAATGAAATTGAACAAGCCACAGATCAGGATAGTAACGAGTGCTATCACAGGACATGGCTCCTTTAACAAACATTTATTTACCATAGGTGTTACAGATAGTCCCCTGTGCAGGGCATGTATGGGGAAGGAAGAAAGGGTGGCCCACCGTGTTGCTGACCTGTTCGGAGGTCTCTGCATGCAGGGCTAAACATCTCGACACAGGGATCACTCCCCGAAGTACTGAGGTGTTTGATAGTTACTTTTGTAATTACACTTTAGTAATTAAAATTTAACAAATGAGATGTTTATCCAGCTACAATAATCTATGAAGTTATTTACTGGTATTGCCAACCAGTTTCTTTAGAATATATTTTAAGCAACAAAAAACCCATATAATACTCCAATGGCAGCACTACTCTAATACTCTTCTTCTACTACTTTTTAATAAATACATTAATTTTAAACCTATAAATACAATAATACCTACATATAGAACTTAGACATTTGTGGTTATTCTCACTTATTTAGTATAAAAAAGAGACTAGTAATATAACCTTTTTCTGATTTGTTTGCCCTTTTTTCATCAAAAACTAGCAGGCTCTCAAACATAATATTGATAATAAACCCTAGGTATTTTAAAAGATGAATTAGAACAAAATTTATATTTAGCAGTGAAGATTATATTAAGTATACTATGTTATTTTATAATTACCATAGTAAAATATATAAATTATATAATATGTAAATTAATAGCAGAAATACTTTATCATGTTAAATATATATTTAATTTATTTAGTTAGTTCTACTATGTTTATTGCAATGTGTTAAAAATATATTCTAGAAGCAGCAATAATAATTTGCATCATGAAAATGAAGACAGTGAAGCCTGTCAATTCAAATATGACGTAGAAATTATACAGTTATAGTAGTTTTTTACTATTTTTAAAGCCTCTGCAGCAGTACATTTTTAACGGACTGCAATGATGAAGCTAAAATAATGACATAACATACCTTGTACACCTTGTCACCGGCCTTACTCTGAAAATTGCTTGTTGTTGATAAATTATTTCTACTACTTCTTCAGAGTTTAAAAGAACAGTGTCCAACACTTCCTTTAATGAAGATGTTATTTCAATGTCTTTCACATAAAATAAAAAGGGTTTATCTTCCTTAAAATAAAGAAAAATCATTAGTTTTCATAAAGATATACTTTTGGAAATACATTATTGTAGAAACAATTTTAAGAGAGCTAAAGAAAGAAAATTTACCTCTTGTAGCAAAGCATTGCATATAAGTGTAAGTTGATCTTTCGTTACATTTAGAGGCAAGTCAAGTGGACTTCCAATTTCTTCCCCTGTATCAGATTTAAATTTAGCTTGTACAGAACTTGGTAAGTCATTATTCATCTCCATTTCTTTCTCTTTGTGATTAAATGAACTTACAATTTGGAATTTATAACCTCATTTAATAAATAAATCACTGTCATATAATCACATTGCCTTGACATCATTTTTTTATAACTGGATTTATGGCTCTGGGATCTAGCCCTTCTGAGCCTGAGCGTATAAAATTATCCTTCATACTACACTGCTTCACATTATGTTGATGCGTCACATTGTGCAGCCTTCGGGAGATTTTGACGGCAAGTTGAGCCAGCAGACAGCTGACAGTTGGCTATGGTATCTCAAGGCCCCTTAGCAGACAGTCACCTTATCTTGAGAATCACATCACCATCAGCGCAATTGTTTTATCGTTTTCACTAATAGTTCACATACTAATATACTTAATACACAAAATCGCACCACTTTTACATATCAAAATCCACTTCAAACCATTATTGAAACAATGATTACAGGAGCACCAATCCGCCGCCGGTCAAGTTCCCGCCAAAACTACTGACTTGTAGAGGTGGGCGATGCAAACGGTATACTGATTCGAAATCTATATTTTAGTACAATATCTAAAATCTACTTACTGGTTCGTTCGTTCGTTCATTGAAAACGATGTATTACAAAATCTGATATTTGCGTACCGCCGCTATTCCTATATCGCATCGCATCGATCGCTGGCTAGTTTCACCGTGTGCGACAGAGCGCGAGCGATATAGGTATTAAAGTTGAATTTCTGTTGCATAATAATGGTACATTTAAAATTTTATTGTTTTCTAAAGCCTAAAATCGAGTGCATATTATTGAATTTATTTTTAGATCTGCCCGAATAAATGTAGTGGAAGGAGAAAGTTGCGCTTTTTATTATTTTAAATATCTTTTGTTTTGTAAATAAATAATAAAGACACTGTAAATATCTCCTATTTTAATTGAACTATTTATAACTATTTAATCAATATCATATAAAAACTATTTTCAAAAAAGAATAACCGACTTTTATAAAGATTAAGTTAATAAAATATAATCAAAATTGGTTAATTGGTTTTTTTCAGAAGTCAGGAAATCGCAAACATACATAATATGTACATATATACAGGTCGAATAAAGACCTTCCTTTTTTTGAAGTTGTTTTCAACAGCGTATCGGAATACAAAATATAAACGCGTACGCAGAATATTCAGATATTCAAATATATAGTTTTGATATCAGATATTGAGATTCAAAATCTGATATAGATACTACTCTCAGAAAACGCGATACGAATCAGGCCTACTGGCTTGACATAAGTTTAAGATGTATACATGGATAAATTAGAAGTGAGGCGCATTTATCGTAACCGAAAAAAAGAACAGATATCTTACAATAGTAGACTATTACGTAAAAAACAAACTGAAAGAACAGCCACCGTTTTACGACATAACAAATCTACTAAAAGACAGTCACAAAGAGTATAATAACTGTCCTATACAGGAAAGTGAACAGTCACAAGTTTTTTTTTATTCATACACATGACAGTTATCTTTGTTGGAATAATATAAAAAATGTTACTCTGACACCCTGTTACTCGTCACAAGCTCTTTCATTTTATCGCATAAGTTCAACACTTTAGTTAGAAAGAGAAGTGACCTATAAAAATAATAGCAGCCTGCCACTGTGAAAAACTGAAAGAATAGCTCCTGTTTTGCGAGATTACAAAATTCATTATACAACAGTCACAAGCTTTTCTTTATTCATACATAATATGATAGTTACCTATATTACAATAAGATATAAAATGTTACTGTTACACATCCTGTTACAGTTGTCGCAAGCTTTGTCCTTTTCTCGCATAGGTTCAAAAGTCAAAACCTTTTAGATAGAGAAGTACCTACCAAGACTGTAGTAACAGACTGCTGTTTTGTAACAGGTTTTTGGAACTGTTATTTATGTGGAACTGGAACAGGCGGAATAGATATGCGATTTCACTTGTTACAGCCCACTCCTATGATAAATAAATTAGGTACAAACCCTAACAACCCTATGGTCTTGTGTTTGCATAACTTGGTACTCTGTGATATGCCGCAAATTGTCAATGTAAGCTACAGGTAACAATAATATTAGGTACAGTCCGTACGGATAAATAAAGGGATAAGAAATGGCAGGTAGTGGCTCATCAAGCCCGTACCGTCAGGCCCCTGTCACTCTTGCTACCTGCGTGAAATAATTACCTGTAATCACGAGTTGCCCCCGGGATACAACGCAGTCATGGCTAGCACGTTCTAGGCGATTGAATATTAAAGGTTTTTAACGCTATTTACGTAAATGGTTTTTGTAAATACTCGTCGAAGTAGTTTTTGTTTAATGTTTAGTATATTTAATTGTAGTATAAAATATTTGAAAAAGCATTAATGTAATTTTAAAATAATATATATGTATATTACCTATATATTTCATAAATTATATCGGCAAAACGTCGTTCCTACTATAATTGTTGCGTGGATGGATACTTAATAAGCAAACAAAAGGATTCAGATATATAATTTTTTAAGTTACCGAAGGATGAATGAATATATTCCTTTTTTGAGATAGGTACTTATAGCGAAAAAAGAATTAAGTAATAATTTAACGACAGAAGTAGTACGTAAGTAGGTATTTCATTAGAAAACTTAGTTGAAATTTACTTCACCATCCAAGTACCTACTTACATACCTATACTTATCTTTTGTAATAATAATATTACCAAACTTTTATTACAACATATTTTGTATACGCAAAGAAGTACATTAATTTTAAAATAACATTTATAACTTATTTATGTGGCATTATTTAAACTTAATATAATCATTAAATGTCATTTATTTCATCTTATCAATATTTCTATTTGAATAAAATCTCTAAATTTTTCGGATAAAATTTAGTCTAGATCACTCCTGGTCGTGAAACTTTATTACAATCGGTTCAGCAATTCCGACTCCGTGGCGCAGTGGCTTAGCAATGAGTTGCTAAGGGCCGCAGGTTTGAATCCCGCACGTAACAAGTATTTTTGTATGGCTTACAAATAATTTGTACTGGGTCTGGCTGTTTGTCCTTGTAAAATCTATGTATGTAAACTGCACCCGCGATACAGGAGAACATCCTAGGGTGGAGGTAACGTTTTTAAAAAGAGGAAGAGACAAGTAATTAAATTAAAAATTTTGTGCAACCGACTTCAATTACAAGCATTTTAATACGCATTATTAAAGATAACACCATAACTACTGGTCAGATCTTGATCAAATTTGTATGGGATATAAAGTTATAAGCACCAGCTTTCAAATGAAAAAAGAATCATCAAAATCGGTTCAACCAGAAAAAAGTTCTGAGGTAACACATATAAAAAATACTACAGTTGAAAAGAGTACCTTTTCCCTTTTTTGAAGTCTGTTAAAAATGGTAAATTATTTGAGTTTCGAGTTTTAAAGTTGACTTATAATCTTAATTTTTCTCGTTGTTGCATATTAACCTTCCTCACGTTAAACAACTTCTTATTGTCAGCACATTACTAATACATTGCATAACACCTCGGTGTATTCTACTATCAACGAATATTAAAGGATTCCATTTATTTTCTCACAAAACCTAACCCTACAGTAGGAGCGGCCTTAAAGTGATACAAACTGTCGCACTCGGACGTAAGGTGCATTTTGATTTAATACGCGTGCTATAACAATCGGTAGGCTATTTTAACGAAGATCGTGTCCGAGGCGTGCAAAGTATTATGAACATTAGCGATGATTTAACTAGGTTTAAACTCGCATTTTGGCTTTCAGACAGTGATCCTCCTGTTCTTGTACTATTATTTATTCTGTGCTACTACTAATCTGTGTTTAAACTAGTCAGTTCATTATGATTACATTGATCTTGAAGAGGTTCAAAAAGCTTGAGTTTAATTATTGTAATGAAACTTCACGAACAGATAGAAAGCAATATCAGAAGTGATCTAGGCTAAATTTTATCTGAAAAATTTGGCCCTTTTTGAAAAAAATAAAAATAAAATAAAGGTTTTTGATTATTGTAAATCTAAATAAGGCCATATTAATAGATCTTATCCAGGCGTAGCCGAATGAGTCACTAGTTCTCAATAAAGGACTTCTTTTTCGATTATTTTTCTAAGGCACAAAATCCACCCAGCTGTTTTGTCAATGAGGGCTGGACTCACCAGATTTAACTAGTTGCAACTGAGGTGAAGTTATTAGTCACATAGTGTCATTATAATTAAGAAATTACGTTTTAAATGAGAGTTTATTGGTTTATATATTATGTAAATACACAAAAAAGCGCCATTTGTTTGATCTTCAATTTCTTTGCGCCATTTTGCACTTTTAATTTTTATACTTTTAGGAATATCCGTACTTTGGTTTATCCATTTCGCGTTCTAAATATTATAAAATATAACTAATATTACAGAAAAAAAAACATTAACTATTATATTTTTCTAACAAATTATCTTCCCACGCTGTAAAACCTGTCAAATATTTGATCTCAGTCCTAACCCTCATTGATAAACTGATATTTATTATACAATACGGTGTAATTCATGAAAAACTTTAGTACAGTTTCGTAAATCTTGATTTAAACCATTGGGGTTATATTATTTTATGTTTTGTGAGTATTTTATACATATTACAAGCAATCTACCAAATTACAAGCAATATCTTGCGATGCAATGCAATACCCCTTTCGAAATGTCTTTCATGTTATTGAAATATTTAGTAGAAAATATTTTTTGTTAGTAGGATTGGGTAAATTTTGCTCTTACATTCAGTAGATTAGTCTAATAAAATCTGGTCACACAATGTAATATTTAGATTCTAAATCCAACATCGGCATTTTACTGACGTGTTATGTTTGTAATATTATTTAGTGGTTTTTACATTGTTAAATTATAATGAAATTATTATACTTTTTCTTTTTGTGGTGCGTCACAGTCAATTGTGATGAACATACACACACCTATAAAGATGGAGAGCAAGTCGTTCTATGGATGAACACCGTAGGCCCATATCATAATCGACAAGAGACGTATGCGTATTTTTCTTTACCGTTTTGTGTTGGTACAAAAGTTACCATCGGGCACTACCATGAAACCTTATCCGAAGCATTGCAAGGCGTTGAATTGGAATTTAGTGGTTTGGATATTACATTCAAAGACAACGTTCCAGCGCAGCAGTTTTGCGGCATAGAATTGAACGATCAGTCTTATAAAGCACTTGTGTATGCGGTGAAGAATCATTATTGGTATCAAATGTATATAGATGATCTACCAATATGGGGTATAGTAGGCGAAATCGACGGCGATCATCATTATATTTGGACCCACAAGAAGTTTGATATTGGTTATAATGGTAATAGGATTGTAGAAGTTAACCTTACCGCTGAAAACAAGGAACGACTTGTACCTGATGCTAAGATCCCTTTCACGTATGAGGTGAACTGGAAGAAGAGCAATATTCGATTTGAAGATCGTTTTGACAAATATTTAGATCCAAATTTTTTCCAGCATAGAATTCATTGGTTTAGTATCTTTAATAGTTTTATGATGGTAATATTTTTAGTGGGACTTGTGTCAATGATTCTTATGAGAACTTTACGTAAAGACTATGCTAGGTATTCAAAAGATGATGATCTTGATGATCTAGAGAAAGATTTGGGGGATGAATATGGATGGAAGCAAGTACATGGCGATGTGTTTAGACCTGTACCACACTTAGCCTTATTTTCAGCTCTTGTTGGTGCAGGCTATCAACTAACAGTAGTAACATTAGCTGTTATTATTTTTACAATATTTGGGGAACTCTATACTGAGAGAGGTTCTTTACTTTCAACGGCAATCTTTATATATGCTGCAACTTCACCGGTTAATGGTTATTTTGGTGGTTCCTTGTACTCTAGAATGGGTGGTAAACTCTGGATAAAACAAATGTTGTTGTCTGCTTTTCTGCTCCCTGTACTAGTTTGTGGTACAGCATTCTTTATCAACTTTATTGCAATGTACTACCATGCGTCCCGGGCTATTCCATTTGGCAGTATGATTGCTGTAATGTCTATTTGCACATTTGTAATTTTACCTCTGACACTAGTGGGAACTGTTCTTGGAAGAAATTTAGCAGGACAACCTGATTATCCTTGCCGTATTAATGCAGTACCTAGGCCTATTCCAGAAAAGAAATGGTTTATGGAACCATTTGTCATTATTATTATGGGAGGTATTTTGCCTTTTGGTTCTATATTTATTGAAATGTATTTTATATTCACATCATTTTGGGCGTACAAGATTTACTATGTCTATGGGTTTATGTTGTTGGTGTTCTTGATTCTAATGATAGTAACAGTTTGTGTGACTATTGTGTGTACATACTTTTTGTTAAATGCTGAAGACTATCGTTGGCAGTGGACTAGTTTCCTGTCAGCTGGAAGTACTGCCTTGTATGTTTATCTCTATTCATTCTATTACTTTATCTTTAAAACTAAGATGTATGGATTGTTTCAAACTACTTTCTACTTTGGCTACATGGCTCTGTTTAGTCTTGCCCTTGGTGTCATTTGTGGCACTGTAGGTTATGTAGGAACAAGCATATTTGTCAGGAAAATATATTCCACAGTTAAAATTGATTGAATGGATCTAATGCATGTGTAATGTGCTATAAATAATATTCCTAATATAAATTTAATGTGTATGCAAGTAAATACACATAAAACATATTTGCTGAACTCAAATGTCAGTTACATTAATTTGATTCCAAATTATACTGTTTTGCATTAGAATAGTTAAAAAAAAATTGTTGTAATCTTTTTAATGTCATAATTTGGACATGCCTAAAATTTTAATTGGTCCTTGAATATAAGTGTTTTAAGTAACGTATATCATGTAAGATAAGCTATTACAAATCAGATATTTTGCCCAGTATGAAAGTGTTTAGAATATGTCGATTTGATTACATTTATTACGATTATGTGTCAACATAAAGTTCTGATAGTGTAAAAGCATTGTTAGGTATTGTATATGGTTAGCAATCTGTTTACAATTATCAAGAGAGTGCTCAGGATGTTTGATGTGTTATGCAGACTGAATTTATTGTATTTAGACAGATGAGCAATTTCTCAATGCATATTTTAGGCTTATTAGATACTATAGTGAAATATTTTTGTTTAATTTTAATCTGTTTTTAATTTCTATTATAAAATTGTTTATTCTCTATACATGTAAATATATTTACCAATCTTAGAAAGATTTCGCTTTAATTCACATTCATTACTTAAAGTAGTGCAATAAATTATGTACTTTCCACCAACAACTGTTTTAATTTTAATAATATAGTAACAGTGATTTGTAAAAAAATGATTATGGCCTATGTGATCCACGAACACAATCATGAAATATTTGACAGATTTCATGGCTTGGGAAGTTAATTTTTGAGGGTGTAAGGGTTAATTTTTATTTCTAGAATATTAGTTGTATTTTATATTTATTAGACTATAAATTAATAAACTAAACTATGCATATTCTTTAAATTTGAAAAATTAAAATGTGAGTTCACCTTAGTCCCAACTAGCGCAGATGTCACTGTGAGTGGAAGATTATTACCCCTTGTTACAAGATAAATTATAATGTTAAGTTATATTATAACATAAGCCATGTATGTAAATTTAATATTAAGCAATTTTACGGGATGCCTCAGAGAAATTTTGGTGACCATGTATACATATTTTGTGTAAATATGAAACTAGACATTAAATAGTAACAATATTAACACCATTTTGATGTTGAATCTACACAGTTATTGTGTTACTTTATTTCAATGAGTTAGAGGGAAATTTTTATTATGCCATCCATAATTTAGTTTACATTGTATTGTCATCATTGAAATAAAAGTGACTATGTATCACTAGTTTTATTTTTTATGTACATTTATTTAATTGCTATGATTAATTTATGAATAACCCACTTTTGGAAGAATATATAAAGTTATCTTCAAAACGCTTATGCGTATTTTTTCGACTATTAATTTCGTAAATACGTAATTAACGCTTCTATTCTGCTAAGATGAGAGCAATTACGTTCTAATCATGCTTATTTATTAAAATTTTACTCTAGGTATAAAACAATGATGGTATTGTTCACTGTTTTATTTTTGTAAATGTTTCACCCATTTGGTAGGTAGGCACAGATGAGATCAAAGTTGTTAGGTACTCAACTCTGTCTAGATGATAGTGATTCACTCGGGTCTAAAATAGATCCAAATTGTGATAGGTAAGGTACGTTGGGGTAAGATCGGTGATGGGGCAAGACCGTAGGATTCAAATTCCTGGCGAATTATGCTATATTTTGAAAAGCTAACAATATGCTACACGACGCCATTTCATCCTGCCCGAACCCTCAGTTCGCCCCAGTCACTCCGGCATGTGGGACCTGTGCTGCGTGGCATTTTATAGAACAATGTAATTTTTGTATTATTTTTGTCCATCCGATCTTTCCCTATCACTTTTATTTACGATTTTTAGCGAGAATATGGCTTCTTTTGTTATTATTTTGTGTGGATACTAATTTTTATGAAGTTATAGCTAAATAAAGCTGGTCCATGCAGGGGTAAGATCGCTGTAGGCCGAGATCCGATGTTTCCCCTCGTGAGTGAAGATCGGATGAATATTATCCGATCTTTGCCTGTTACAAATATGGCAGTGGTTGTTAAACTTTCATTGGTCGTGTATATTTTTTCGTTGATTACTCAAGTGACTATGGGACTCAGTCTCGTTAGCAAGTCTGTATATTTAAAAGTAATAAAACAATACGATGATTTTATTACTTTTAAGTACACATTAAAATACATTTTTTTTATAGGATAAGGGTGACACATGAGCACACAGTCCACCTGATGTTAAGTGATTGCTGCGGCCCATAGACATCTGTATCTATCCTCTATTACAAATCAAAATGTAATTTATAATAATTATTTAAAAAATAATTTATAATAATAAATGCCGCTTTGTTAAAATATTTATATCTTCCTTAACTCCTGCATTATCCCAGGCCATTTCGCCAGTCCTTAATGTTATTTTTTTTCCCCATCTAAAATCAATAGCATCCGATCTTTCTTATATTGAGTAATTCCATCTTATGTCATAAAAAAGTTTGAGAAACATAAAATTACAATTTCTTAATATCAGGGATAAGATCGGATGGCAAGAAACAAAAAAAGAGAAAATCGTTTGGAACATTTATGTTTCTAGTAATTTATAGATCATATTGAAATATGTTTTTGAGCGTTAAAGATAGGACAAATCTCTTTTATAAACTTTTTTCTCTAAGCAGTAGAAGTGGTTTTAAATTTAAGTCCGGTCTTACCCCTTAATGGCCAATTTTTCATTATGCATATAAAAAAGTATGTCTAGTTTTCGCACACTTTTAAAGCAGAAACCGTTGAGTTTACACAAGCAAAAGATTCTCAGAGCTAAACTACGTTTAACGATTAACGGTTTGCTCCATGTTCCATAAATCTGACGTATACGAATGTCGAGAAATTAAAGTTTTTGGCAGACTCTTCCAACTATTCGAAAATCCGTCCGGTATTACCCCAACGTACCTTAAAATTGATGCGGACAATAAATTTCATTATTTGGCTGTGCACAATAAAAATTACCGAACTACTACATTATATGAGTCTAGGTCACATTAACCACACATTGAGGAAACCTATCCGTACCAGGGGAATTGCAAATGCGTTGCTGGCCTTTTAAAAAGGAGTAGGCTCTTTTATTGAAGGTCCCTAAGTCGTATCGGTGGTTAGTATCGGGAGTTTTGTCGCGATGTGCGATGGTGAAATTGAGCAATTCCTTAGAGCACTCCCCGTGGTAGATGCGATAAAATACGCAAAGAGATGCAACATCTCTTCGCAGCGCCACTGAATCGAGCCGATCGGAAAAGACCCTGTCGTCGACTATTCGAGTCGCTCTGCACTGAATGCGGTCAAGTGGAAGGAGCTGACACTGGGGAGCGCCAGCCCAGAGATTGGAACAGTATTCTATGTGAGGCTGAACCTGCGCCTTGTAAAGTAGGAGGCGGTGTGCCGGCATTAAATACTGCCCCGCTCTGCTGAGCATGCCAAGCTTTTTAGAGGCCAATTTGGCCTTCTCTTCCAAGTGACCACGAAACTGAGGAGATACTACAAAGAGGTTCTTTTTAGCGGTAAACGCGCAAACTTATGTCTTCTGAGGATTAAACTGGACTAGATTTCATTGATATGCAGAAGAAACAGCGTCGATGATAGCACGCAGCCTTGAACACCAGCGTTAGTAGGCTTGTAATCGGAGCATGCACCGTCTACTATGACCTTGATGCTCCGATCAGCCAGAAAACTGGTGATCCAATTGCACAATTTCTCTGGACGCCAATAGGAAGGAAGCTTCGAAAGAAGCGCTTTGTGCCAGACCCGATCGAAGGCCTTCGCTATGCATTATGCCTAGCTATAAAATGTCAGTCTATGATTTTTATTGAAGGTTTATAAACTAAGCTCACATTCCTGATGGTAAGTGGATGATGTGCCTCATAGCCAACCTACATCTACCTTTGATTAAGAAGCAAAACGCAGATGCGACTTCATCCATGAGAGGACTAAGATGGAATGTTTCCTTACCAGTAAAAACGGTTTCCGATTCTCATCATACGAAATAGCAGCATTACGCTGCTATCCACCCTGGTACCGACCCATTCGTGCTGCATCCATAGTATAGTATTTACTTCGGCTGCATCACCACTTCCATGAGGTGGGATAGTAGTCAAGCACTGGCATAGAATAGTTAAAAAAAATTGGGGATAATTCTAGCCGTTTAGCTGATACACTATCAGGGTACTAGCTTTGCTCAAATTTCCTACGATCCGTGGCGTAGTGGCTTAGCAATGGGTTGCTTGCGCTGGGGGGCGCGGGTTCGAATCCCGCACGGAACAAGTATTTGTATGGCCTACAAATAATTGTTCCGGGTCTGGATGTTTGTCCTTGTGCAATTTGTGTTTGTAAACTGCCTCCACGATACAGGAGAAAATCCTAGTGTGGGGGTAACGTTTTTTAAAAACCAAAAGCAATGCCATGTCTCCTTTTAAATCAATTAGTGTTCACGGTACATTCCTGTAGCTAAGATTTGAGAAAGTGCTTTAAAACTTGGTAACCGGACGTAATATATTTTATCGGCGAAGCCGACAACCCGGAACATCGTTTGCATCGTACTTGGAACCATTTACACATTTATGTTTTTGGTGATTGGTCATTAATTTTTTAAAAGTTTTATCCTTAATTATTTTTTCTTGTTTTTGTTTATGCTTTTACTAAAACTATAAGAATTATATGTCTGTGCTGCTATGTACTGTGGTGCTGTTTCAATAGTTAAAACTAACCGCAATAATAATCGTACTCCCAATATCGATAATTTGTAATTGTTGGATTTTCCATTTGTATAATGGTCTACCTTGACACCAAATTTTTAAGTCGCCTAGAAGTGGTCTAGGTTTTCGTTGAGTGAATAAAAATGGCACTCAAGAAGTGATAATTAGGTGTTCAAGGGTCATTAGACATGCAGAATTACATGTGTGTAGGTCTAATAGTTTTTGAAAAGAAGATATTTTTACTAAGTTTTCGAAAGTAGCTTAAAATGGTTTGTGTAAATATATTTTATATATTTATATCATTTACTTACAAAATTGAAAAAAAAATATAAGCATAAGTCTATGAAAATTTATATTAAAATAAAATACATAAAACAGAATCCCTAGGTTATTTTTAAATTTTCCAAACAGTATGAAAGTATTAATTTTTAACACGAAAAATAAAACGCGCTATATTTTTAAATAACTATATTTTAAAGTCAACTCTTTTCTCCCTCAACAAAAGTTTCAACATCGACTGCTGCTTTTCTAGATTTCTTGCCCCCTGGAAGCTTAGCGTTAAAAGCTTCGGCTGTTCTCTTTCTCAATATATTAATATCTTCATTCTCATCCGTTTGATCCGCCCATTCCAAAACTAATCTTCTACCATAAAGGTGAGTTGACTGACATAATGCTTCAAAAGCAGACTGCAAAAAATGAAAGCACACTTAGATGTTTATTAACATATCGAATCACCTGTCTGCCACAGTTCACAAAAACTAGTGACCGACCGAAGATTCGGTTTCGGTTTCGGCAAGTTTCGGCAATAAAATCTAGTTTCGGTTTCGGCAAAAAATCTGCCGAATCTTTGGCGGCGCCGAAACTCAAGTGTTCGTGGATTATCGTGCGTCGTTCGGATGAGTTCGTGACTCGTGTATTATTCATAATTATACAGAAACAGAAACTTTTTATTCAATATAGATTATAAATTATACGTATTGAAAGTTATTTTTTTGTTTAATTACCAATGGTTCGAAAAAAAAAAAACTTCTGTCCTTGGAAGAACCAGCAACAAACCCAGCGGGACTTTTTTTTAAATAACAGCTTACAATCAGAGGCGTAGCGTGGACTAATATAAACGTGGGCGAAGTCGCATCAGCGACGCCCCTTTTCTTTCGTTCCAAGGATCTACTCAATAGATCTATCCTACCAAACATGCTTTGACACGACATACCTACTCATAGCTATTAATTCCTGACAAGTCTCGTATTCCGTCAATATAGCGGTCGCGATCTTTGAAGGTAGTTACAACGATATCGCAGTCGCACTTAAGAGGGGCTCCTTGCGAGCCGCCAAACAAACACACTTAAATTTGTGACTTTCTTTTTCGAGCGTAAAAGTGATCAAATGAATTAGTCATCTGTGGTAAAGTCTGGGGGCATCGCATTTTAGAGGGCCTCGCGAGGGCCCACTTCGCCCACGCCTAGCTACGCCACTACTTACAATCATGTATGTAACACAATTAACAACACAAAACAAATTAGAAATAGATTAGTAGTGATCACTTCATTCCCTGGGGTTATTATCATCCATAAATTCCTTAATATTATAATAACCCTTTTTATACAAACTTAGTTTATTAAAGTTTTAGAACTTTGAGCAGGTTTTGTATATTTTCTGGGATTTTGTTAGTAGTAGTAAAAGTTAATAGTAATATACACACATATTGTCTTAATGCCTCCCATTGAATAATATTAACAATATTGGGAACACAATAAAATATGTTCTCAACTAAACTCTAAAAAAACTAAAACTTTTTATGGGTGTAAGTGTTGTTTTTTTTTACAAAATGACTTAAAAAATTATTTCTTAGCGTTAAATTGTTGATTTTTACTTTAAAATAAATAAATATATCGCTACATGACTATTACAATGACTAATATTCATTAACATGCATTACCTGTCTGTATATGTATCAAAAAATATACCAGATTTCAGTATACAATAAAGAAATTAACATGTTTAAATAAGTTTCGGTTTCGGCCGAAACTGATGCTCAGACCGAAGGTTCGTTTTCGGTATCCGTTTCGGTTAAAAATCCTGTTTCGGTCGGACACTAACAAAAACTAACGTCTACTGAATTTCGTCGAAGTGGAAGTCAGAGTTTCCATTCCAAAGAACAAAAAGGACGGCGGAGGCTGCCCTACGTCTGCGCAGGCTCAGAGAGAAATTTAGTAGAATATTTATTTTTCTGAGCTTTATTTGCGCACGCAGTACAAAAGCTTAATGCCACAAGACATGCTCTACTAGTCTTTCTCCAGGGTAAGCAGAGAAAATATTATGGGTGCAAAGTACAAACAAGTCCGTTAAAGATTTCTATGTTCAAATTATATATGCATAATAACTATAACTACATCACAAGTCCACTGCTGAACATAGGCCTCCCCCAAGGAATGCCACAAAGCACGGTCCTGAGCCACCTGCATCAATCGACTTCGTGTATGTCAGTGCATAAGAAAAAGTAGTGTAAGTGACAGCCCAACAGATTAGTAAGCTAAAGTGGCAATGGATCGATTATATTTGTATTTGTATGGCCTACAAATAATTGTTCCGGGTCTGGATGTTTGTCCTTGTGCAATTTGTTTGTAAACTGCCTCCACGATACAGGAGAAAATCCTAGTGTGGGGGTAAAGTTTTAAAAAAAAAAGAAAACAAATATAGCTCGAAGAACCGACAAGCAATGGAGAAGAAAGGTTCTCGAATGGCAGCTTCGTATCCATAGATTTAGTATAAAACTGAAGTTAGAATAGATTAGCAAAGCAAAAGAGAAACAGCATAGTGTACGCTTATGTTAGAGCGAGTGTTATATTTTTAGGGTTACGTAGATAAAAGGAAATATAGTTTCTTCATGTCCGTCCGTCCGTTTTCGGGATAGATAGGGTATTATTATCGAAATCGAAAAGTATTTTTTAATTTTTTTCAAGAACCACTCCCTATAAGGCCGATTTGAAATCAAGTCCTTCAGTTACAATCTTCCTATTTGGGCCCATTTTTAGTCGATATAGCGGTCAAACCGCGAATACACTTATTATGCTCATTATCAAGGAAGCCTACGTGTTGTAACGGGCAACTACGGAACCTTACCCCTACATTTCGGGTTTCCCGACACGCACTTGGGCAGTTTTTAGTTGTACTCACGCCAGTCACATGTGCCAAACCAGCTTGTTCGTAGCATTGTACTTAAAATTGGCAATACATAGGGCAGATGTTTGAACGCTGGCGTATGTACGGATGATAATACAATAAGCAATAGACTTTTATTACTACTGCGTGTAGTAGTGGTGTAAGAATATATATTATCGGACCGTGGGTGTCGTAAGAAGCAACAGAAGGAAACAACGACGAGATGGTCAGCAGTGTGTTTATAACAACAATAAACAATAAAAAAATAAAAAAAATGATGTTGCTAACCCGCCTGCCAAGCGTGGCAACTATGGCAAATATCCATGTGATGCAATCTATAGAGAGGCCTATGTTTAGGCGTGGATTTTTAATAGGCTGTAACAGTACCACTGTGTCATGACCTTTGATAATGTTTCCAGTCGTCGGTCGACGTAAAGTAAGATATACGTCATGGCTGTTTCGCCAATTGACAGAACCCACAAGAAATTCTGACTTTCCTTAATTGATTTTTACGACACCCACGAGATAAGTTGGGACGATGGAATCTCCCAGGCCGCCATCGCACACAATAAGTTATACTCGTATAAACTGAACTCAAGGATACCTTCGCATCAGCTTTGGAATGAAAATCAACAAACGCAAATCCACGATGTTGGTCAGAACCGGCTGTTAGTTTTTTCGGCAACCTCAAAGTTTTTATTTCACCAAACGCTCTGGAATCATTGCAGCATTATTAATTAATAGTTACAATAAAAATTAATTTGTAAATCGATTCTGTGAAGTAAAAATAATCAAAATTAATCAACGACGAGATAAGCACACAGCACTTTAATCGCTAACATTCATTAATGTAACAAGCTACAAATACGACCCAGGTTTTCCCCGAGAGATAAGACATCCAATGTCAGTATTTATATCATAGGAATTGAGACTTACGTAGAAATTTGATTTGAAAACTGATTCAAGGAATCTCATCAATACAAAATTCCTTAGATGATAGCGCATTTTTTGCTTAGTCAATCCATTTTTAAATGCTTTTTTTTTAATTTAAAATTGCACACACAAACACAAAATATGACGTTTTTGAACGAGTAATTCATAATTTTTATAAAATACACAAAAATTTACATAATCTATACAAATGTAGTATAAAACATCCAATACCTATGTTTGTGTTCATATTAAAATTCAATTTATTGATTAAAATATATTTTCAAAAATAGTGTTTCCGTATTTAAATAAATTATAATCTTTCTACTTAGTTTAATTTGAAATAAAGAATATATAATTTTTAGGGAATTGCAACACAATACAAAAAGATGATTTAAGAGGTATTGTAGCTTGTTTTTAGTCTCTCAATTTCTTTTTAATTTAAGAATTCTTAGATTGGATTTCATATTAGATATTATAAATATACCTGAAAATCTCATGTAGTTCCTTTCTGTTCGCTTGGAATGGTACATTACGAACAAGTATTTTTGTTCCATTTTGAATTGTGTCTTTAGTGTTCTTCTTCGATGTTTTAAGTTCACTTCTGTAAGAAAAATAAAGTTTTATAAAAATGTACCCACACTTACTCTATGATATTTATCTAAACGCCTTTAAAGACATAGATAGGCGCCTTTGACAAAACAAATTTCTCTTAGAATACTTCGCGTCTAACCTGCCCCAACTGACTGCATAGTAAACTCTTTCAGCAAATGTACAGTTAAAAATATAGTCGAAAGCAGCGAAAATAATAAAAGCCACACGGCGTTTTATTTGACAGGTTAACACTGCTTTGTTTCGTATGGTGAGTGTAGAGATCCGGAGACCCTTATTACTGGAAGAGGCATTCTATCTTAGTCCTCACGGGTGACAACGCATCTGCATTTTGATTCGCAAACGAGGGTAAATGTAGATGTCTATGGGCCACAGCAACCACTTACCATCAGGTGAACTATGTGCTCGTTTGTCACTCTATCCTATAAAAAAAATTCTTCTACTACGTGGTTCATTCAGTGGTATGTTAAGACCTCAATAAACAACATGCATAGCTATGGACAAGCCATAAAAATGCAGTTAGGCTAAGCAAGCCTCGTCCGCAACAATAGGTCGTATCTATAAGGCACTTTAAAAGAAATGATACTACAACGGAGAAAAACGTTAGGAGTTGTTTAGGCCGTGACAATATTCTGTGGATACATCGAGGGAGGGAGGGTTGTAATAAACTGAACAATCTTTACGCTGGTTTATGAGTTTGAAGTCTCCCAGCAGTCGGCCAGCACGATGAGCGTTGATACAACTAGAGTATATTTTTCGAATTAAATATGCTCCTGGCAAGTCACTTAACGTCGCCGAGCTATATAATGGCTGCAAGACGAATGGGTCGGCTCGACCGGGGTAGGACCAAGCTCTCACAATGCCAGCGCAAAATAGCAGCTTAGTGCTGCTGTTTTTCGTATGGTAACCTTTTTACTGCACATCTGCACTTTCATTCTAAATCGAGGATAAACGTAGATTTGTTTGGGCCACAGTATCCATTTAGGTGAACTGTGTGCTCGCATGTCACCCTTATTTTGTAAAAAACGTTCTTTCGACCACCGTGATACAAGAAACAAATTGCAATGTTTGTTATACCGAAGTTAGTTTACAAAGTTTCAAAGTTTTTTAGTTAGCAACGGTTAGGTACTAGGTACCTAGTTACCGTTGTATTTAAGCTGATCGCATTCATTGGCAATGTACAGTCAGCCATGAATGAGAATGGCAAGGGATGCAATTGCAGAGCGGTTCGAATCATCGGCGACCGAGCTCTTTCTGATCGGCTTGACTCACTGGCGCTACGAAGAGATGTTGAATCTCTTTACGTATTCTATCATATCACGGGGAGTGCTCAGATGAATTGTTCGGACTAATACCGGTCACTCATATTCGTACGAATTCGCAAACCCACAAGTGTACGACGACATTTGCAAATGATTATGCAAAGTTTTCGCTGCATTCGCGGTTTTCCAAGCCGTGTCGGTTTTTTAACGGACATCAAAGCGCGCGAACGTCAATCTTTCGCGTAGTCTCCCACACATTCGTTTAACCAGTTGCGCACATGATTGCGAAGGTAGCGAACGTTTCGCCATTTTCATAGTTCGTGACGTCTACTGTGTAGCGTACTTAAACTAACTTCATTATGGATTGGAACAACACCAAGGCGATGGAGTTCATCGAACTTCTGCAGAATGAATCGACCATATGGGATACTCAAAAAATATCTCATAAACATTTGCATATCCGCTACGTTTGCGAATGAACGTCTGACGGCTCTTACGTATCGTACAATGTACGAATGTTTGCACGCATGTGAGTGACCGGGGTAATTGCAGCCGCTCATTTCCGCCATCGCATGTCCCGACAGAACTCGAGATACTATCCATATTATCTGGATGATGGAGGTCCACTACTGTGCGATTTACAAGAGGTTTTCTACCTTGCACAACTTTCTTGTGGAATCGAATACCACCAGCAATTTTTCCGGACCGACACGACTTAGGGACCTTAAAGAAAAGAGCCTATTCTTTTTTAAAAGGCCGGCAATTCATCTGCAATTCCCCTAGTGTTGCAGTTGTTCATGGGCGGCGGTAGTCACTTACCATCAGGTGAGCCGTATGCTCGATTGCTCGCTTGCCCCTCTCATATAAAAAAGTAAGCCTAAGAAGTTTTACCGACTCAAACGCGGGACTCCGAGCCTAGCTTAGAGGGGATGATGTAACTTCATATCAGATAGCTAGCTTGTCCGCCTTATGTAAAGTCCACTCTTCATATTTTTTATGTTCTTTATATTATAACGCTTCTAGAGCTTATTCACAATATTAAAAGATATTTGTTCGTTTATTTACTATAAGAAAATATCACACCTGGAGGGTGAAACTTCAATTTATAAAGTACCTATACACAACATTCGACTTACACATTTCCTCGTTCCGATCTCTTTAATTCCAGTGTTTTGCCATCTAAGTTTGAGCTCTGTAGCGATTTCAATGCCTCAGTAGCTTGTTGCTTTCTATAAAACTGCACAAAACCGTATCCCATAGAAAGGAATTGACCAGGATTCTTAGGATCTTTCTTCTTAGCAATGATAACACTATGTATTTTCCCACAATTTCTAAAGTGCTATAAAATAAAATGTTATATTAGAAGCAGTGTTTAATTTGAATTATAAGAGTGATTGGCAAATTATCATAAGGTTTACTTTTTTGACCTATCTTTTAGATTACGTAAGATTTATTTTTCTTAATACTCTCAAAGATAATGACCTAAGCAAAAGGCTTTATTCTTAAATAATAAGTTGCGTGCTATTATTTTATAGAACAGATGGGTAGAGAATAACTTAAGGGATATCTACGTAGTATCTTTTTTGAGGTGCCCAAGTAGTAAGTGGCGCGTCACCACGAGCCCCATTTAATCCGTTGAGATGCGTTAAGAGCATGTGTCCTGAGTCTCACCTCAAAAGCCCGGTAATCCTATTTCATCTAACATTCCAAACATATAGTCCAAAATTTTCATTCCTCTCCCATTTTGCTGTCTGTAATTTTTAACAGTGGTAGAGCCACGCGGCAGCTTTTGCTGTCGCACGGATGGGCCGGCTCGAACCGGGGTGGTACCACGACCTCACAGAAAACCAGCGTGAAGTAGAGGTTTACCTCTGCGTTTCGCTTGGTGAGTGCAGGTGGCCGGAGGCCCATTTTACTGGAAATGAGGCATTCCATCTTAGTCCTCACGGGTGACAACGCATCTACATTTTGATTTGTAATAGAGAATAGATGTAGATGTCTATGGGCCGCAGCAACCACTTACCATCAGGTGGACTGTGTGCTCGTTTGTCACCCTTGTCCTATAAAAAAAAAAAAAAGAATAGGGGCTCCTCTCCTAACACATTTATATTGTGGATGCAGAAAAGAGCGCTGTAATGCTACATTATAAAGTATAGCAAAATTCTCCAAAAAGCCTCTGCTTGTTATGATTAGATCCGTTAAAAATGTAGAAATTAAATAATGTTGTAGTAGTCTAGGTGGTGACACATTTTCTGCTCAGGAATCTGTTTAAGATAGGTACGGTGGAACAAGAGGGTGCTCTTAATTGTAGAATTTAATAATTTTATTTTTACGGACTACGGACTTTTTTTCTGCATAGGTTTAGGTTACTTATTTCTGCCGCCAGTTAAGGTACTTTTTATTTAGCCAATTAATAATATAATGTCCTCCAGACCAAATTACGGTCACGGCGGCCAGCCTCAACGGAGACTAGCCATCGGCGCAGGACAGGAGTATAGTGCCCAAGTGTATGCGCAAGCACAGGTGCACTCTCTATTTCCTCACTCGCATAGTCTGATGGGTTGGTAAACCGACACGACCGGAAAGAGATCGGGCGCAGGACCAAGAGTTTTACGTGCCTTCTGAGGCACGGGGGTGATAAAACTGAGAATAGCGCAAGAACTGATTTTCGACCCGACCCGGGATTCGAACCCGATACCTCATGATTAGCAGTCGCACTACTACAACTACTTCACCAACAAGGCAGCCGCCAAATGGCAGTGCTTGTAATGCTGGAATACAGCATTGCAAGTACTGCTATTGCCAGTTTGAAGGGTATAGGGAGCTAATAAAATTACAGGGCATTCTATCTTTGTTCTCAGTGTGTGGTGACAACGCATTTGCAGACGGCTTTAGGCATCAGTGAACCGTAAGTTCTTTGTTTGTCACTTTAGTTTTTTTTTAAATATAGTAATTTGAGTACCTCTTTTAAGCTGTCTTCAGTAGTTTTGAAATTGAGATTTTTGACAAATATAGTACTATCGTTCTCCGGTACATCCGTTGTTTCTTCGATTTCCTCTTCAACTAAATTAGTATCTTCCATTTCCAAATGTTCCTTGGTTCTAATTTCTTGTTCTTGTTTACTTACGTTTTCTAACTTGTCTGTTTCATTAGGCGCTGTTTCTTTAGTTTCTACAGTTTTTACGAAAACATTTTCAGGCGCCCATTCTAAATATAACGGAGCCGCTTTAAATTGAGAGTATGCCAGTTTATTAAACGCCTTCTTGGCTTCAAACGGCTCTATAAAGTCAACCAAGGCAGTGATGCCGTGTTTTGGCATTAAAAATCTCGCGACTTGTCCATGCTTTTCAAAGAGAGCTTTTATTTCGTCTTTATGTGTATCTGATGGCAAATTTTTGACTATTATGCACGTTTTTGAACGTTTTTTGGCTGGCTGTAATGAAATTAGTTTATTAAGTTCGTATTTTAAAACAATAACAGTACTTGTTATCAAAGAGAAGTCGGTATTATGAAAAAAAGTGTTGTAATTATTATTTTTTTACTTATTTAAAACCAGTGTTTTAGCACAATCTCACCTGGTGGTAAGTGGTGAGGAAACCCTAGATGGTAAATCTTATATTTATTTATTTATTTCATAGCAGGTTAATATTATATTAAGAAAATAGTGTGATATCCTAATAGGGTATTCCACCCATTTTAAAATAGTGTTTTAAATTAATCCTAGAATGATAATAAAGCATTATAATTTATAAATATTTTTTAAACCGAATAGTGCCATAAAAATTACTTTTAATTTATCGTTTTAAATTTTCGCGCGAAAACGCTAGCCGCCATGCTGTTCAGCTCGTGATGTCACTGATTAAGTAAATAAAACGATTTTTTCAAAGGAATAAGATTTTTAATAATGAGTCTTTATCATTGGTGTGTTGTGCCTGAATGTAAAAATACGAGCATAACTCCGGGGAAGTCATGGATTCAAGTGCAAACTGATATAAATATGAGAAATATTTGGTTAAAACTGGCAAGAAGAGGCAAGAAGAGACCCGAAGATATTGTCTACAAGAACTAGACTATATTTCTGTCAAGATAATTTTGATATAAGTATGACTTATATTTATCTATCGTTTATACAAAACAAAGCATTATGAGGTGATAGGTATTACAAGTAGAATTTTGTAAAAGATTAAGATATCTTAGATATAGCTAATGATTGCTAATGATTGTAATCATAGATAAGCCTAATTACGTATCATCAAAAAAACTCTCTGACCTGGTATTGTGTTTTTGTATAAACTGAAGTTGGTAACGGGCATTTACATTGCTGTTTTAATATTCCTCAACTCGGCAGAACAGAAAACGGGATCGCATGCAAAAAATGTTGCCACCATTAATGTATTTACCCTTGGTAGATTAGTACTTTTTGCTTTTACGGATCCATCTTCCACGATGCTATTTCAATAAAATATGGAATAAAAATCAACAATCGTGATGATAACTTGAAAATTTTATAAATAGCACACAGTACATTAGCTAGTTTACTTTATCAGTGACTTCACGACGGAATCTAATATGGCGGATAGCGTTTTGGAGATTTGAGGCAAAGATTAAAAATATATTCTTAAAATTGAATTATAAAATTCATAATGCAATTTTATGAATTTTATAATTGAAATTCTCCTTTACTTCTTACAAAACCTACCATAAATATGTATTTATTGATTTTTTTTACATTGTGCAAAACGCCCCATTGCTTGATAAGCGTAATATGCAAATAAATAATTGTTTATTTATTGTCACATAGGAAGGATTTAAAGTAAGTTCATAACAACACACAGAGCTGAGCGATGATTCTCTCTCGCTCGACCAAACGAGAGGAGGTCTATGCTCAGTAGTGGGCGAAGTAAATAGGCAGTTATTTTACTTTATTTTCGTATCTAAATATTTTATTTTCGACCGGAGAGATCAGGGGTTGGACTAAAGGCTTTACTTGATTTCCACGGCGCGGCTGAAACACCACTTATTTCGTGCCTTCGTTAACTAATTTTTTTTTGATTCCAACCCGAAACACATAATCAGCAGTCGCGCTTATGACTGACTACCAGACTAACGAGGCAGTGGAACTTGTGTATACATAACTTGTGTAAAGAAATTAAATTGTGTAATTTAGTTAGCAAAAAAAAAATCGTTATTAATTATTGAATAGCGTTGAATTAAGAGTACTGACCTTATTAAATGCGTCTAAATATACCCCATTACTCTCTAAAAAGGATCTTGTTTCAGCAACCAGCTGAGTTTCACCAAGTGCTAGTCTGACAGCAGCACTGGTATCTAATGACAAAAAGAATGAGTATAATGTGGATCAGTGTAAAATCACACGTGAGGCCAGGGATATTTGCATGCAATTAAGACATAAATAACCATTTTTAAAGTTTTTATCTGTCTGTTTTATCTGAAAAACTTGGAAGATTACCCCACGAGTATACCTACTTATGTTTAACCTGTCCTTTTAAAAGCTGAACTTTTCTTTTCAAACAGTAGAGTAAGTATCAAGTCAGTTCTTAGACAGTATTAAAAGAATATCTTACTCGATTTCACTTGGTTATCACCCATCCCCAGCAACGCATTGTTGCAAATATCTAAATGCCGCAGTTGATAATTATTATTAGGTGTCATTAAAAAAAATAAAAGGCAGTTTTAAATGTTTCTTATACTACAAAAGTTGGAGACATTGTTTAAAAATCAAGTTCTTGGGTAACGCAAATACACTATGAAATACACCATGAATTTTGACGTTACGGCCGTGGTCGAATCGACAAACCTCACTTACTTTTATTGACATCACTAAGTAGTTGTTCTTTTGTGATATTGTAGTTAGCGGCGATCACATCGGCCACGGCGTTAGCGCCCAAGAATAATGAGTTCCAGTTGTGTGAGGATTTTGCTTGCTCTTTTAGTTTCTTAGCTTTTTTCTCTTTAAAAGAAAGCTCGCCTGAAACAAAGTTACGATGTTTTGTAAGTTTTTTAATTATAATCTATCATAATCAATATACTTTAAAAATACACCTGCCGGAACTTAAAAGGACAAATGAAATAAGTCATAACATTAATTCAATTAATAAAACAATTTTTTATTGTAATACTACTGTGTGAACAAAGACTGTACTCATTATTTTTTTTTAATTGAGTACTCATTAATCATTAATTTTAAATCAAAGTACACATTAACACTTTTTATTTGTAAATATAAGAAATCATTAGTGTTAAATGCAATATTTTGTAAATATAGATATGGTTTGAAAAAGTAGAAGTTGTGTTTTAATGTAAAAAAAAATGATTAGTCATACTGTCATCTTCTTCTTTATCCAGTTTCTCCGTTCTAGCAGGCAGCAGATGTAACATCCGACCGCAAAACGAAGTTCCGTCTAGTTCTGAGTATGCCTTTACTGCATGTTCTGGCATAACGAAGGTGATAGTAGCGAAACCCTTCGGTTGCCGAAGAATTGGATCTATTGGCATATTGACTTCAGCTAACGGCCCTGAATAACACATTAATATTTAATATAATAATAATAATAATTTATATCTCTTAAAATATACAATATTTTATTATATACAATATTGAAAACCATAATAATAATAATAAAAATATGAACATAAACGCATTGCGGGCGTACTATAGGGCGAAAGGGGAAGAAACTGGAGGGATAGCGTATCGGGCTCGGATGCATCGCTTTTTTGCTGAGCTTGAGCCGTCAGTTCCCGTCACAGAGCAAAACCTGGAAGACCGAGTTCGGTACATCATACGCTCGAAAATATTTGATGATGCCGAACTCGAACGACTACGACGTGAGGCTATTCCCTCATCGAATGAAGCGGCTATAGCTAGGGATGCGGCTCTTCAGGCCACAGACCAGCAGCCTCATATAGAGGGCGCCATGGATCTCCCTGCTCTGGTTGATTCAGGCGATGATGGAATGGTCACCCAAGAACTAGAGCAGATGAGGAGTAAATTGGAGGAGGCGATTGTGGAAACGCGCAGTACGCCTCTCGAAAATCGACCGCGACTCCCGCGCATACCCCTAAGCAAGCGGAATCGGGCTGTCGTGAGGGCTCTCAACCCAATGCTGGTGACCTATTTGGAAGCCAGCCGGGACCTTTGCGAGACGGACTCAATTCTTTTTGGCGCCGCACTGGCAGTTTGCCGTATTGTTGGCGCCAAACTTCCCACGGCTGGACGCGCTACTAGACAAAGTAGCGCCACCCCAACCTGGAGAATAAGGATTGAGGACCGTATCGTAAAGGCAAGGGCCCTCATCGGCAGACTGATAAGCTTCAGGTCGGGCAATAATAGGCCGCGAATTGTGCGCACCGTCAGAATGGCGTTTGCTGGGACAAATATCAGTTTGTCCCAGCCGGATATAACGCAAAAACTGACGGAGCGCATAGACGACCTGAAGCAGAGAATCGCTGCTTGGGGGAAGCGGATTCGGCGATATACCGAGAGGTCGACACGGTTCAACCAGAATCGTCTCTTCCAGAGTGATCAGAAGAGGCTATATAAATCTTTGGAGCGACCAATGGTACGTGGAACGGGCCAAGCACCGAATCAGGCCGACAATGTCGCATTCTGGCGCGGCCTGTGGTCAGAGCCCGTAAACCACAGCGAGGGCCCTTGGACGGAAGTTGTGGTGAGTCAGTGTGCGAATCTGACGCCCATGGACCCCGTCATTATAACGCCGGACGATGTAGCTGAGGCGGTCCGAAGGGCCCCGAACTGGAAAAGTCCGGGGCTCGACGGGCTGCATCACTACTGGCTGAAGGGGTTCGTGGTGTGTCACGCTGTGCTCGCCCGACAATTTCAAGAGGCTCTCGACCAAAAGTCGCTCCCGAGCCTCTTCACTACTGGGATCACTCATTTGGTTCCTAAAGACCGGGATACCATAGACCCGAGCAAATACCGCCCCATCACGTGTCTACCCACGATATATAAGACACTAACATCCATTTTGAGCGCGAGAATCACTCGTCACCTGAACTCAAATCAGGTGATGTCGCGCGCTCAAAATGGATGTCGGGGCGGTGGTCGTGGAACCAAGGAACCACTCCTCATTGACGCCGTCATTGGCAAAGTGGTTAAACGCAACCGTCGGAACCTATCCGCCGCCTGGATAGACTACAAAAAGGCATTCGACTCGGTGCCTCATACATGGCTGAAGAGGGTCCTCGAGCTGTACAAGGTTGACTGTACAGTTAGAGACTTCCTCGGGCAGTGTATGGGGCAGTGGAGTACGATCCTTTGTCATCTAGGCGAGCGGATGACGGCTGCGGAGAACCACATAAGGATAAGAAGGGGTATCTTCCAGGGCGATTGTCTGAGTCCAATCTGGTTCTGCCTCTCTCTGAACCCTCTCAGTACCTTACTGGAGGGCTCCGGGAGGGGATTTCAGCTTCGGAGGGGAGGTACAAAAGTGACCCACCTTTTCTATATGGATGATCTCAAGTTATTCGCCTCCAGTCGCTCTCATCTTGTGGAATTGCTAAACATCACTTGTGATTTTAGCAATTCTATTGGAATGGGGCTGGGGACGGATAAGTGTGCGGTCCTCCATGTTGAAAGGGGAAGGGTTGCTAACTCTGAGGGCATAGATTTATCTATGCCCATCAATATAAGGACCCTTTCCGAGGCTGAAACATACCGATACCTGGGTATGTCACAGAACATCGGTGTTGATGAGACGGGTATGAAACAGTCAGTTTGCGATGTGTTTTATGCACGCTTGACCAAAGTGCTTAACAGCCTTTTGTCCGGTGTGAATAAGACGCACGCATATAACGGTTGGGTCATGCCTGTTCTCATGTATACCTTTGGCATACTTAGGTGGACTCAGACCGAACTAAACGCTCTGGACAGAAAAGTCCGCACTATAATGACGTCCCACAGGATGCATCATCCGAGATCGTCAGTAATGAGGCTGTACTTGCCGCGGAAGCATGGTGGGCGCGGCTTTTTAAGCGCGCTTACCATGCATAATCGCGAAGTGTGCAGCCTCCGTAATTACTTTCTGACGAGAGCGGATGATCCATACTATAGGGACGTTATTTCTTGTGATAAAGGACTGACCCCTCTATCCTTAGCCAACGAGCAATGGCAAGACCCAGCAGTACAGTGCATTTCCGACCGGGAGGCCGTATGGAAGGAGAAGGAGCTCCACGGGAGGTTCTACAAGGCTCTACATGAGCCTTTCGTAGACACAGTCGCCTCCCTTCACTGGCTACGTTTCGGTGACCTCTTTGGGGAAACCGAGGGTTTTGTCTGTGCGATACAGGATCAGGTTATTAAGACCAACAATTATCGGAGATACATCCTAAAGGATGGCGCCGTCGACATCTGTCGAGCTTGTCGCCATCCCGGTGAGTCACTTAGGCATGTCATCTCCGGTTGTTCGGCGCTTTCTAACTCTGAGTATTTGCACAGACACAATCTAGTAGCCAGGATTCTACACCAGGAGCTCGCTCTGAAATACGGCCTCGTGGATCGGAAACTGCCGTATTATAAGTACTTGCCGGAAGCCGTGCTCGAAAATGACCGCGCCAGGCTCTACTGGGACCGGGCCATCATCACAGACAGGACTATTCTTGCGAATAAGCCTGATATTGTGCTGATGGACCGGGCACAGTCAAGGATCTTTTTGGTCGACATTACCATTCCTTATGACGAGAACCTCGTGAAAGCCGAAACAGATAAGGTGACAAAATATCTGGACCTGGCTCACGAGGTTACCGGCATGTGGGGTGGTCTGCCGGCCGAAATTATTCCTGTGGTCGTTTCTGCGAACGGGTTAATCCCAGTCAGCCTCCCGGGTCATCTGAGGCGACTGGGACTCCGTGACGGACCGCTCCAGGCTCAAATGCAGAAGGCGGTGCTCCTCGATACCGCCCGCATCGTCCGCCGGTTTCTTTCCCTTTCCCCCTAACCCTCGGCCGTCTGGTCTCCCCTGCCGAGGGCTTCCATCTGGTTGGGTTTTTATATATTTATGTATTTTTTATGTATTTATTTTATTTTATTCATATTTATGTATGTTTACCATTTTCATTTACAATTATATATTTATACTGCCCAACCAGATGAGAAAACTTTATAGATACCCCAAAATAATAATACTAAATAAACTAATAAAACAGTAATGAGGCTGTACTTGCCGCGGAAGCATGGTGGGCGCGGCTTTTTAAGCGCGCTTACCATGCATAATCGCGAAGTGTGCAGCCTCCGTAATTACTTTCTGACGAGAGCGGATGATCCATACTATAGGGACGTTATTTCTTGTGATAAAGGACTGACCCCTCTATCCTTAGCCAACGAGCAATGGCAAGACCCAGCAGTACAGTGCATTTCCGACCGGGAGGCCGTATGGAAGGAGAAGGAGCTCCACGGGAGGTTCTACAAGGCTCTACATGAGCCTTTCGTAGACACAGTCGCCTCCCTTCACTGGCTACGTTTCGGTGACCTCTTTGGGGAAACCGAGGGTTTTGTCTGTGCGATACAGGATCAGGTTATTAAGACCAACAATTATCGGAGATACATCCTAAAGGATGGCGCCGTCGAAATCTGTCGAGCTTGTCGCCATCCCGGTGAGTCACTTAGGCATGTCATCTCCGGTTGTTCGGCGCTTTCTAACTCTGAGTATTTGCACAAACACAATCTAGTAGCCAGGATTCTACACCAGGAGCTCGCTCTGAAATACGGCCTCGTGGATCGGAAACTGCCGTATTATAAGTACTTGCCGGAAGCCGTGCTCGAAAATGACCGCGCCAGGCTCTACTGGGACCGGGCCATCATCACAGACAGGACTATTCTTGCGAATAAGCCTGATATTGTGCTGATGGACCGGGCACTGTCAAGGATCTTTTTGGTCGACATTACCATTCCTTATGACGAGAACCTCGTGAAAGCCGAAACAGATAAGGTGACAAAATATCTGGACCTGGCTCACGAGGTTACCGGCATGTGGGGTGGTCTGCCGACCGAAATTATTCCTGTGGTCGTTTCTGCGAACGGGTTAATCCCAGTCAACCTCCCGGGTCATCTGAGGCGACTGGGACTCCGTGACGGACCGCTCCAGGCTCAAATGCAGAAGGCGGTGCTCCTCGATACCGCCCGCATCGTCCGCCGGTTTCTTTCCCTTTCCCCCTAACCCTCGGCCGTCTGGTCTCCCCTGCCGAGGGCTTCCATCTGGTTGGGTTTTTATATATTTATGTATTTTTTATGTATTTATTTTATTTTATTCATATTTATGTATGTTTACCATTTTCATTTACAATTATATATTTATACTGCTCAACCAGATGAGAAAACTTTATAGATACCCCAAAATAATAATAAAAAAAAACTAAAACTAGAAACTTAATTATCATGTAGTCCTACTCCCGGCGGTATCGTGCCAAGAACGCTGACTGCGTTATTATAACATTAAAGTAAAAGGGAATTGATATGTTATTCATTAATTCATGACAGCCTATCAAACAACCAGGTTGAACTAAGAGCTCTCTCTATAGATTGCTTCATTGGGTCGCATATTTGCCATAGTTGCCACATTTGGTAGGCCGATTCGCAAAATACTGCGGGTTTTATTATTATGAGTTGTTATCAGGAAGCTTCCCATTATCGGTTTCAATTATCTCTATTGCCTCTCTAAAGTACCTACATACATACATAATACATAAACACTCACGCCTGACACCTAGAGACCACAGATTTTCATTTTACCACAGAAGTCATTTTTTCATTTTACCACTGGTTCGGATAAAAAAAAACCTCTGTCCTGGGAAGAACCTGGCAACTTTGCCATTTTTGGAAGTACTTAAAAGTTTAGGACCAATTTTCCAACAAAATGTACTGGCAGAATGGGCGTCAATGTTTAATGTGACATTATTTTTTTTTTTCATAGAATTCGTATTTATTAGTAATTTAAACAAATACTAACATTAAATAGAGAATATACTCAAAAATAAAAAATGGCAAAGTTAACCTCACTTTGTGGCAAATGTGTCATCATATAATCTAATAATATGTCAACATAACATTAAACATTTTGAAATACATACCATACTTCTCAAAAACCTTTGTGACCTCTTCTTCAGAAACGACATATGGTAAATTTCTCACAAAGATACTTCCACTTTCCCCTACACTTTCTTCATTATTTACTTGCTAGTGAAAAAGAAATTAGCTTTATTTACAATTTTATTAATGTACATATGTAGAAAACAACAACTTAAATGAGGTGTATTAATGGCTTATGAGATAAAATACCTCTTGTCTCTTTTTTACATTTAATTTGTCTTCCTCTTCCTCTTTCATTGATTTGCTTTCATACTTGTTCACGTGTATGCGGTGGTTACCTGACAAACAAAATATTGTAATTTTATACATCAATGATGTTAGCAATGTTGACATATTTATACATGTAGAAAAACAATTTTTTTTAACCCCCGACAAAACAGAAGTATGCTATATGTTTGTAGTGTGTATCTATGTATCTGTGTGTCTGTGTTTCTGTGTATATGTTTATCTGTGTATATGTGTATATATTTATCTGTGTATATGTGTATAAGTGTGATGAACCGATTTTGATTGTTTTTTTTCGTTTGAAAGGTGGTCTTAATTGAGTGTCCTTAGCTAAATTTCAGGACAATCTGTTCAGTCGTTTGAAGATCACCAGCTCTTTTTGTTTTGGCAATTTTTTATATTTTTTATTTAAGTTGTTAAGATTACTTTTGTAGAAGTAAAAAATTTAATATGACTGCATACTTCAAAGCCAGAACACTGCGCTAACTACATCTGTCCTTTTAAACGTTTTAATCTTAAATAGTTTAACTAATTATATTAAAGTTTTAACTTATAGGTAGGTAGTGTTCTTGGAGAAAAGTGACGTAATTAAATAAATATATATTTTTTTATAAATTTCATTGATTTAGAATATATATCCCCAATGGGGGCAATAGCGCACTACAGGAGTTACAGTTTCTCATGGCGGCGGGTATAGAAACAAAATGTTGATGCAGACAAGAGGGGCACCGTGGGGTCAGCACTAAAATACGTTATATATAAACATATAGTGTGTAGAGGTCATTCTTTTAAAAAGTCCAAATCACGTGGTACTTTTATTATTACAATAATTTATTATCCAATTTAGATTATTCATAATAATTATTGAAAGTCATAATCATTATTTTATTTAATTATTTGGAAAATACCTCTATCCTGGGAAAAATCTGAGCAAGAAATCCAGCAGGATTATTATTTTAGCATGGTAACAATCACCTCATTCCCAGGGGTTATTATTTTCATTCATTTATTCCATAATATTATAATAACACTTTTTATACAATTTTTGTTTGGAGTCTAAAAGCACGGTCGCGGAGCAGGATTTTTTTTATTGCTTTGTATATTTGAATTTAATTCCCATCATAATAAGTTTTATTTCTATTGCAACTAAGATTTTAAGTTCTCAAGTTATCAAAGTTCACGTTTGTATGAATTGCAATCATTTCAATTTCTTCCTCCTCTGCAATCACGTCATAGTAACTGGCATTACAAGATTGTGTTTGTTACTAATATTTATAATATAAATATATTTGTCTTATCAAAGCTCTTTATGTTTTTATGTACGTAATTGAATTTTCAAAAATATATTGTAATGTTAACCTTGTAGGAGCAGTGGAAGAATATCCATTACCCCGTATCGTGCCGTGGGTGTCGTAAGAGGCGACATAGGAAAACAAACCAGGAGATGGGCAGCGGTGTCTTCCAAATAACAACTGAAAAAAAAAAACTATTTGCCAACCCGCTCGCGAAGTGTGCTATGGCAAACCGCCTCATGTGGGATTATTTGGGGAGGCCTATGTTCTGCAGTGGGCTCTAATGAATGTATGAATGAATGGATTGTATGCTAAAGTTAATATTTATATTTTTTTTAATTTTCCAAGTTACTTTACTTACAATTTGTTATAACTTACCCATATGGCCCAAAGCTATTTTTGAATGCTGATGATAATGATTATTTGTTATAATTGAAATGCCTAATAAAAATTAATATTGTACCTATAAACAACTTATCCTTCGCAAGTGCCTTTTTCAATTCTTTCTCTGTTCTGAAACCAACATAGCAAAATCCAGCCAATTTCTTTCCCTTACCAAGTGGTAATCTGAGGGAAAAAGGTACCAGTGGTCTGAAAAATTCCTTGACATCTTTCTTTTTGCATTTAAATGGTAATCCTGTTAACTGAAAATAAAATATAAGGTAGTTTTATTAAAAGATGATAAAGAGAATTAATTTGAATGTTAAAAATTCACAGACTTAACTAAAGTTATATAAAATTAATTTATAAATTTGTTTATTTAAAATATAAATGTATTTCTTCTTGTAAATTATCTTTGGAAAAAAATTAGAATATACTATAAATGTAAAAAAAAACTCACTTTACAATAAAACAATGGTCTATTTCTAATTTTCTTAGGCTTTTCTTCTTCTTTACTAGCACCTATTTCTGTTGTCCTACCTTCAACTTTCTTCATTAATAATTTCATGTACTGAAAAAGACATTAATTTGTAAATTCATATTATAATTTCAATTTGTCCACCTGTCTTATGTGTTACAGCAAAATTCTTTTATATTTACCTTACATACATACATACATACATAAAAATAATATCCGTATATGGAAATAATATACTCTCCTTTATAATAAAAAAAAAAATACAGCACTAAGTACCCATATGGAAACAGCGGATTGTATTTTTTTTTAAATTTCCATTAGGGTAGCTTGAGATTAAAATCCATGTAGCATATTTTCAATTAAGTTTTCCAACACAGCTGTGTGTCAGCCAAGTTCAGAAAAGCAAAGGACAATGCACCAGCAGTGTGTATATTTCATGGCCCATTTTGCCCCACTTAATATAAAAAATATTAGACCTACACAATTTTGCAATCCTATAAGGATGAATGCCTGGAATTCTTATGTCACTACATAGTTACAAAAAAATCAATATCAAACTCTCCATTTCAATTTGTTAAAAAACTCACATCTATATTCCTCGACTAACATAATAGTACACAGTCAACAATGGAACTATGGAATGCGTGGACACTACACAACTACAACCAACTGCATGCATTTGAATGTGTTAACTGCACACCTTTTATACATGGTAAAGCCATGTTGTAGCTATATTAGTAGAATAGTTATAGCACGAATGGGTCGGCTCGACCAAGGAAGACCACTCTCTCACAGAATACCAGCGTAAAATAGCAGCATAACACTGCTATATTTCGTATGGTGAGTGTATAGAACCAGAGACACTTTTTACTGGAAAAGAGGCATTCCATCTTAGTCCTCACAGCTGATAATTTGCATTTTGATTCTTTATTGAGGATAGATGTAAATGTCTATGGGTCACAGCAACCACTTACCATCAGGTGGACTGTGTGCTCGTTTATCACCCTATCCTACAAAAAAAAAATACATGGAGTTTGTCCAATAGTAGCTTAACATGTATATAGTAAAAGAGATGTGTTAAAATTAAAACTTTTAAAGCTCTAAATTTATATATACATATCATTCAATATATACCTCTAAATCACTGATTTGCTTATTGGCTACTTTTTGTTCACTGTTTGAAATAACTTCTTCTGCATTGACCTCAACATTTTTTTCATCATTAACACCATTAACTTCTTCAGTTTTTTCAGCTTCCTCACCACTGCTATTGTCATTGTCACTTTTTTTAACTTCTTCTAATACTTCTTTGATCCAAGTTGTATTTTCATTAATATGTGCTTCTATAAATTCTTCAAATAAGGGATCTCCTTTATGCTAGAAATTACCAAAGAATTTAATAAGGCTTTTTAAACTACTTAAGTAAAATTTAAAAACTGGTCCAGTGCATGTCAGACCTCATGCAGTGTAGAGATAGGGTTCCGTAGTTGCCTGTCACAATATGTGAATTTGGAAAGAGCCTTTTTAATAACATGAGCATATTAAGTGAATTCATAGGAGATTACGATATATCTTCTCGTTGGGCATACTTAATCAGTGCATTTTGTCAGTGATGAGCTATGGATCTTAGACGTGGTTCTTCACTGCTGGCCGTATGAGGAAGCTTAAGGTCGTTCAGCGAGCTATGGAGAGGGTTATGCTCGGGGTTTCTCTGCGTGATAGATTTAGAAATGAGGATATTCGCTACAAAACCGGAGTAACCGACATATCACCTCAGGTTAGTAAGCTCAAGTGAATATGGGCCGGCCATATAGCTCGAAGACCGGACAACTGAAAGGGAAGTAAGGTTTTCGAAGTTCAAATAATAAACGAAAGTGGTATGTCAATATTGGTCTCTTGGCGATCGATCCGCCCTGCCTACCCCCCAAAGGAAAAGTAAAGATATACAGTAGTAATACATAGGTAGTTTTCTTGAAAAAAATTGTATTTATTACAGTTTACAATAACATATAATACAAAGTTATATTGTAGCTACTTTTAGATCATTTTATCTGGAATTGTAATGAAATTTTTACTGATAATGTGCATTAATGTTTGTGCATTTTATAATGTGGTTGCCTGTTACTTGTTAATTTGTTAAACCTACTTAGTTTTGATAGTTTTGATTTCCTTTCTAATTTATTATATATTATAGTTGGTGGTACCTGGAATGTTGCTGACGCAGAAGAAATAAAGAGGAAACTTACGTGGTAGAGCCATGCTGCAACTATATTAATAGTATAGTTGTAGCACGAATGGGTCGGCTCGACCGGGGAAGGACCACGCTCTCACAGAATACCAGCATAAAATAGCAGCTTAATGCTGCTGTGTTTCGTATGGTAAGTGTAGGGAACCGGAGACCCATTTTACAGGAAAAGAGGCATTCTATCTTAGTCCTCACGGGTGACAACGCATCTGCATTTTAATTCGCAAACGTAGATAGATGTAGATGTCTATGGGCCACAGTAACTACTTACCATCAGGTGGACTGTGGGCTCGTTTGTCACCCTTATTCTATAAAAAAAAAAAAAAAAAATTATGAAAATATAATTTGTGAGTTATAATATTGTTTATATGTGTTGTATTTGATAGTTAAATTGAATGATATATAACTTTAAAATAAATTTTTGGGTTCCGATACGCGCGCCACCTACTGTAAGTTAATTGTACTATGCCTATATTTTTCACACAAATGGAAGCAATAAGTTCTTCAATCTGAAAGTTCTTCAATCTGATGAATGACATGGCCGCACATAAAATACGAACAAATAAAATTGATTTTTATATATTGGATTATCGCGCGATATTTTCACATTTCCAACAGGAGTTTCCTTGGTAGAGTTGGACACGTTACTAATAAAAAATACCACTTTAAAGATAAATATTTCGCAAAGGGACCCCTGAATCGAAAATATGTTGTTCCATACCCCCAATATTTTTGAAAGACCGATCCAATGACACCCCTCACGATGGAATAGACGGGTAAAAAAAATTCATCCTCCTTTTACCTGTATGGGAGGTACCCATAAATAAATATATATTTTCAATTAACATTCTGCAAGCCATCTAGCTTTACAAAGGTTCATCGCAGCACTGGAATAATAATGCTTCCTGTTCCTTCAAGCTACTCTCTGCGCTACAGTGTTCGGCACGGCTCTGAGCCTTACTGCTCGCCTCTGCTTCACGACACTCTCGCAGATTACTTGCCTTCTTCTCGATTCACCGCAGACTACAAGGCAATCCCTGCCACTTGCTCCGGCTCATCGTTCTCACCGGCATCACTTGCAAGTGCGTAGCACTGCATGCATTACACACCGGCATAACGTTCGCACCGGCGTCACTTGCCGTTACGCACACAGCATGCATTCCCCACCGGCATTAAGGACGCACCGGCAATCGGACTGCACTGTCGACCTCCGGTCTGAGCAGGGGGGTGATGTGGCGGTGCTGTCGTGGCGTCACAAGCGAAACATATCGAAGCCTAAATCGCGCTAACAAAGTTCCGAAGCTAAAGCAGTATATATAGAATAGCTTCGAACTACCACTCGGAGCGTTGGCCGCTCCCCGGGCAGCACACCTTGCCCGGCGGGAGACCTCCCCTTTTCCTTCCACCGGCTACACTGTGCGCCGCCACAGACCAATATCAAGGAGGCTGGGCAAGCTACTGCGACTGTGGTGCTTGGGGCTGGAACCAGTAGCCACGCTGAAATTGGGAAGGATTAAAATCCAGCCCAAGTGGAAGGCGCGGCCGCGGGGACTAGCTCTAAGATATCCGCCAGGAAGCAGCGAGCGTCCTGGCAAGAAGGCGAGAGGCGAGCACAAAAAAGTGCGACTCGAACAGCAACCAAAGGCTTAAGAAAAAGCTACGCTTTCGCTGCTAAAGCAGATTTGAGTGTGGCCTTAGCGAAAGCGCGTTCAGGTCACATAACGAAGGAAGTAGCTGACGACATCCTCTTGGCAATACAGAAGAAGATGATCAGCGAGGCCTGGAGTAGCTAGAACCCTGATGCATCGGGACCAGTTTTTAGAGGCTAACCTGTTTATACGGTGGGTATCCTGAAGCTGTGGTGCGACGATCAGAAGGCTCTGGATTAGTTGAAGGGGAATATTTCTACCCTCGACCTTAAATCCAACACCTCGCTGATCATAAAGAAACAGTCAGAGATATACCACAGAGTCAAATGTGGTATCCTTATCTCTGATGACCAGGGAGCCTGGAAAGACTCACGCGACATCGGTCATGTGTTGGCGTACCAGAACCGCTAGGTAAATATCAGGGACTGGATGCTACTCAAGGCTGATAAACAGACGGACGGGTCGTTCCTCGTTGTTTCGGTGCCAGAGGATCATATCCCGACCCCGATGAAAGCCGGACGCCGTCTCGCATGTGTATCTGGGGCAGTATACGTAAAATTCCAGGGTCGTGGAGCTAAATTCTTTGATACTCCACCAAGCAAAGAGGCAGATAACAACCCGGAAGTCATGGATACAGGGGCCATGGTTACCGGTACAGTGGAATCACTGGCTAATGTCAAGTCCAGTAAAAAAACGGCCTGCACTTCTGAGCCGAAACCCCCAGTAGAGATCGGGCTCAGCGGCAGCTCACTGAGTGACGAAGAGGACTGCATTTTGCCGTCCAATTCCGACTCGCTAGCTGATGATGAAACCCAAGATCTGCTGGCAGGCTTATTTTTGGGCGGGGACGAGGACGACGGGATCAATGATGGCGTGCCCTTCGTCCATAATTAGCCTAGTGTAGGGCAACTTCCACAACAGTGAAACTGCGTCAGCTCAATTACGCAAGTAGTTGGAGGTTCAAAGGACGGCCATAGCCTTAATCCAGGAGCCGTGGGTGGGGACTGGTAAAAACAAAGGCTTCGTATAGTGGAGAGATGGTGCAGGGAATACGACTGAACCGTTAATCCAAATAAAACAGTCCTAGTAATGTTCACACAAAAACAAATGCTGAATAACTATCATCTCCCAAGTCTTTTCAGCACAAAACTCCAGCTATCCTCTGAGGTAAAGTATTTAGGTCTTACCTTGGACAGTAAAATCAACTGGAATAAACACATACAAAACAAAACCAACAAAGCTAGTATAACCTTCTAGTAGTGTAGAAACATGATGGGCAAACAATGGGGTCTGACGCCAAAAAATTATACTGTGGCTGTACAAACAAACTGTAATTCGGCCCATGATGACATACGGCGCTCTGGTATGGTGGACCAAAACAAATGGAGCCACCGCTATAAAGAAGCTTCAGCGTTACCAAAAACTGGCATGTATGGCTACCACAGGCCACATAAGGACTACACCAACAGCAGCCTTAGAGACGATGCTGGAGCTAACCCCGCTTCATCTACACATACAACAAGAAGCAACTTTAGCTGTTATTAGACTCAAGACCCTAAATCTTTGGAGTAAGAGTATAGTCCCTCATACAGGTATAATTGATATAATTTACTTAAAAGTCCTATCTTACAAGCCAAGTACGATAAGTTCCCTAAACAATTTGTATACAATAAGAAGTATAAGATACAATTAAATTAAACCAGCCAGCCGGAGAGATTAAGCCTAAAAGAGCTTAGAATTTTCCCCGATGGTTCTAAAACAAATGAAGGTGTAGTATCTGGAACATTCTCTGAAGACCTTAATATTCACATATGCACACCGCTGGATACCCACAACACAGTCTTTCGGGCAGAATGTATGGGTATCATTCAAGCGGCCATAGCAATAGATACTAGGAAGGTAAAATATTTCTCCATCAGAATACTGCCTGACAGTATGGCAGTACTACAGGCTCTGACTTGCAATGTGGTGAACTCGGGACTAATATATGAATAGCCATCAACGATTAAATGAGGTATTTAAACACAACAATGTAACTCTGCAATGGATAAAGGGACGCAGTGGATCCAGATACAACAATGCAGCAGACGAACTGGCCCGAAGAGGATCAGCTCTGGCCACTATAGGGCCGGAACCAATCATACTAATATCCTTTGGTAAAATTTGTTCACTGGTATGTAAAAACTTCACTAATCAACAAGTTCAGCTTTGGAAAAATCTAGTAGACTGTAGATAAGCTAGGGAGGCCCTACCTGAAATAATCACATGTTTAACCAAGGTTCTAATGAGACTGAATAAGCCGCAGATCAGGATAGTAACAAATGCTATCACAGAACATGGCTCCTTTAACAAACATTTATTTACCATAGGTGTTACAGATAGTCCCATGTGCAGGGCATGTATGGCGGAGGAAGAAACAGCGCTCACGTGTAAATTAGTTTTTAGTTTTTAAAATTGTTTTTAATTCTTTCTCTTTTATTGTAACTTTAATTACAGAAACTGCAATTATAAATCATATTGTCACACGAAGTGTACTAAAGTTAAAGGTATCTTGATAAGTGTTACATTAAGGGACGAGACCACGCTCTCACAAATTAAAATGGTTATACCTCCAATATTATTAGATGGCAATGTAAACTTGTGAGAGCAAATAAAGTAAGCATTATTATTATATATTATTACTAGCTGGCCAGGCAGACGTTGTTCTGCCCTCTCTGACGACCCTTTGTCCTATAAAAATCCTTAAATCGTAATAAAAAATATTGAGGGTCACTTATCAGGATAAAAACTATCCTATCTCTCAAGTTGGACCAAACTGCACACAGTGTGCAAAACTTCATTGAAATCAGTTGAGTAGTCTAAGAGTTCATCACGGACAAACAAAGTGACACATAATTTTTATATATAACTATTATAATGCATAGCATACTAATTGGGGTATCTGAGGATGTACGTTAAATACGTTAGATGTTGTATATTTTTTAATATATCACTTTTTACATATTTCTACATTGTTATCCGATTCTGAGCTATTTATAGCTCATTGGAAAGTTAGTTTAAAATCACTTACTAAATTTAACAGACACACAAAAGTGAGTTAGCAAAAATGTGTTAAAATACGTAGTTTAGATGCTCATTTAAAGACTGCTAATTGGCTCTGAATTGCTGAGTTATCCACATGCTTTAAAAATTATTAATGTTCATCCAACTTAATGCTTTAAACAATAAAATAGTTGTATAAGCATTTAGTTCTTACCTTTTTAAGAAGTTCCTTGATTTTCATTTTATTTTTTTCAGCTTTATTCAGTTTTTCTTTTTTTGGTTTTATGAACTCTTTATCTTGATCAGTTTTATTAAGTTGCTTATAAGCTGAACTATCACTTGCATATTTGCTCCAAGCTCTGGGCTTGTTTTCGTCTCCCAAATTGGCACAAAATTCAACATTAATTTTCATAGAATTAATACAAGTACCATCAAAATATTCCTTCGCGGCAGAAGCCTGTTCTTCTGATCTGTATCCAACAAAACCAAAGTTTCTGAACTTTCCATCTTTTGTGTATTTCAATTGCACATCTGTGACTTCTCCTTTTTGAGAAAACAAATCTCTAAGTTTTTCTACTGTAACCTAAAACAAAATGCTTATATTATTATTCTGTTTACATGTGTTATAGAGAAGCTGTGGTTAATAAATTAATAACTTTGTTCGGCAAGTTTTTGATGATAAGGCGAGACATCTTATATGTTTTGATATTTTGTACATGTAATTCAATTCAGCCACCCTTTTCAATTAAAAGAATATAATATTTTCTTTGGGCTGACGATGTGACGAACTTTCTTACGATGACAGTGAATGACCTACTATGACAGATGACACTGACAGAAAAATTCACGTGCGTGCACGTCCGTTTTTTTACAACTGGCTTTACGGCTCTAGGTTCTAGCCCTTCTGAGCCTGAAGTTATAATGTATTTTGACGGCAACTTGAGTCATCAGACCGCTGACAGTTGGCGATGGTATCCCAAGGCGCCTAAGTAGACGGACACCTTATCTTGAGAATCACATCACCATCAGAACACTTGTTTCATCGTTTCCACTAATAGTTTACATGCGCAGACGCTTAATACACAAAATCGCACCACTTTTATATATCAAAATCCACTTCAAACCATTATTTAAACAATAATACAAGAGCCTCCACCGTTCAACTTCCCGCCAAATACATTGTAACGTCAGGCTCAGAAAGGCTATAACCCAGAGCCGTAAAGGCAGTTATAAAAAACAAAACATTCAATATGACAAATTATCAGCTGTTATTGACATGTGACGTAATGTGTTATTGATATGTAGTTTGATTGGATGTTTTATATATTTATATTAGAAAAACAAAAAAATATTTTGATAAACTGTTAAAAATTAGGTTTCTAAAAAGTTGTTCGTAATATTACATTGATAGTTATTTATAATTCGTAAAATTTGCATAAGTTACCGTTTAAAATGTCTACTGCTATGACATTTGGTCAAAAACAGTTTATACCAACACCACCCGATAAGGGCAGTTTTCCTCTAGACCATGAGGGAGTGTGCAAAAAAAGTATGACAAAGTTTATGAAGTGTTTATTTAATAACAACAACAAGAATTCATTGTGTCGCATTGAAGCAAAAGAATATTTATCATGTAGAATGGAAAATAACCTCATGGCTAAAGAAGACTGGGCTAAACTAGGGTTTAAAAACAATGAATGACATCTAAACTGACTACTGAATAGCTTATAGTGAATCTATTTATTTAATAAAATTCTAGTAAACAAGGTAATTGTTTTTTTATATGCCTATTTATATTTCATTTATATCACTCACATGTCTCAGGGCTGTGCCTTGCTGTGGCCCATAAACGTCTACATCTATCCTCGAATAAGAATAAAAATACAGGTGCATTGATATTGCTCAGGACTAAGATTGATTGCCTCGTTTCTGGTAAAATAGGTATCTGGTTCTCTACACTCATCATACAAAACACAGAAGCATTAAGCCGCTGTACACTGGCTTTTTATGAGAGAGTATGGTCCTTACCCTAGCTACAACCATAATATATCTGTAGCATGCCTTTACCACATAAAAAATGATATCATCATCATTCCCATTTAAATTTTGTCTCTGAGATTATCAATTTCTGTCACTGCCAAAATTAGTTTTAGTTTTAAGAGCTCTTAAGTGTCCAACTAAAAGTCAACAAAAGTTTGAAACAAACATTTGAATATATTGTTATGTATATATTGTTTCCAGCAATACCTAAAATTGAAGATAAGCTTGCAAATTTTTTACCATTATTTTTCATGTGTCAAAATGATTACATTAATTGTAATTATGTTAATAGTCAATTGTAATTGTACAACCAGTGCATGTTGCCAGTGATGACTTATGGATCTGAGATGTGGTCCTTCACTGCTGGCCGTATGAGGAAGCTCAAGGTCGCTCAGCGAGCTATGGAGAGGACTATGCTTGGGGTTTCTCTGCATGATAAACTTAGAAATGAGTATATCCACAGAACCAGAGTAACCGCCATAGCCCAACGGATTAGTAACCTGAAGTGGCAGTGGGCCGGCCATATAGCTCGAAGAACCGACAACCGATGGGGTAGAAAGGTTCTTGAGTGGCAGCCTCGTACTGGTAGGTGAAGTGTAGGGCGACCCCCCACGAGGTGGAGTGACGACCTGGTAAGGCATGCAGGAAGTCGTTGGATGCAGGTGGCTCAGGACCGTGCTTTGTGGCATTCCTTGGGGGAGGCTAATGTTCAGCAGTGGACTTATGAAAGGCTGTAATGATGATGATGATGTTAATAGTCGTTGTAGTTCAGGGGCTATGAAATTTTAGAGTGTGTAAAATACCCGGGCTTGATCCCTACCATCACCATTAAAATTATCACAGGACACGGCACCTTTAACAAACATTTGTTTACCATAGGTGTTACAGATAGTCCCCTGTGCAGGGCATGTATGGGGTAGGAAGAAATGGCGGCCCACATGCTGCTGAAATGTCCGGAGGTCGCTACATACAGGGTTAAATATCTCGGCATACCGGGGTCATTCCCCGAAGTTGCATGCAACATCAAAGGATTGTTGAACTTCTTTGGGGAGATCTCATGGCTTGAATAATTACGTTATTTCTGCCCACACGCAAAATACGCATATAGACGTGGAGTTGCAGAAATCAGCCCGTCATAAACTAAACTAAACTATCACCATTGAAATTATTTAAATATTAATTTACCTCATGCTTGGCAGTGAAGGTTAGGTTACATAGTTACATACCTTGTAAATATTTCGAAGATATGCAACATCCGCCAAAATACTGAAACAGAGCAGTACATACACTAATTGCGTCATAACAGGCTCAAACATAAGCGGCCTATGTCTAGCAGTGGAACACATAGAGGCCTTGCTTTTTACTTTATTAGTGGTAAATTGCATTTTGAAAGTGCAAATATATAAAAGAGTTTATTTTAGTTCAATATTTAATTAAAAAGAAATAATGTTAGGCTGGCTTTTCACTATGGGATATAATATATATATTATATCCCGAAATATAAATTATATTCCGCGATTGGCTTTCACACTGTGAGATATATTTTTTAACCAGTGTGCGTTTGTCATTGGTCATTGGATTACCCCCCTTTACCCCGTACACCGTTTGCGGGGGCGCGGAACGGTGTGCAGGATACAGGGGGCGAAATATAATATTAAAATATCGCTCGGTCGAAAAAATATTTATAGCTTTAGATGTAATATATATTATAGCTCAGTGTAAACGGTTCCATAGGAAATGTATGGTGAGCGGTATTAATTTATATCTCGAGATGTAATATATATTATATTATATCCCATTGTGAAAAGCGGGCTTAACCATAATAAAGTACAAATAATCAGCCCTCGAACAATAACATATAGTTAAATAATAGCGACCCGCCCCAGATTCGCCTGGGTGGGATCACATAAAATATAGCTAGCTCGATCACTCCTGACATTGCTCTCTATCTGTTCGTGAAGTTTATCACAATCGGTTCAGCCATTCTGAAGTTTAGATTTTCTATTAAATTTGTTACTACTAGTTTTTCTAGTATTTCCTTCCATATAGGACCACTTCCTTTTTCATCTCTCATATGAGCGATACGTGGCATTAGAAGTCTAAGTATAAAATTAACCTGTAATAAAAAATTAAACCCGACTTTAAACAAATAAAAATAATAATATAATTTCACATTTTGAATTCGGTGCTAAGACATGGTGTATAGAAGTATTAAAGCCCAACGACTTAAAAATATAAAATTATGAACTAAGATGGATTAAGGATTATCACAACCTCAATGTCGCCTAAATAAATTCCTAAAGTAAAAACCTCATTGCCAATTTTGTCATTCTTATTTGCGGCGTTTTTTCTCCAAATTTATATGCAACCCCTGAAGTATAACATGTATAATAAAAAATAACTATCAAATTCGGTTCATGATTGACGAAGATATCGCGTAATATTCATACAAAAACAAAGCATAGTCTAATTCATACCAAAATAAAGCAAAGTTGTTAACTTCTCTTTTTTTTGCTTTAACTAGGTAATTTAGTTTCTCAGACCAACTGAACAAATGAAACGTGTAAATAGTGTCATATTATAAAAAAATAAGTATAATGTAATATAATATCATACTAAAACATAAATATGAAAAAGGGGTCCTAATTTTGATACAATCGACGACAGGGGTTGTCGGCTTCGCGGATAAAAGAGTGGAATCAGAACGGGTGCCTCGCTCGTTAGTTGCCCGTCATAATACGTGAACTTAGAAGTCCCTTCTTAATACTATGAGCATATTAAGCGAGATCGTGGTCTGATCGCTAAAGAAAAAAAAAATGCCCAAATAGGATGATATGGGTCCATAAGATAAAGCGATTTTGTAAATTTTTCAAAATGAGTATTTTTAGTGTAAATACTGATATGTGCTTGATTGCGTCGAGTTTATTTAAAAAAAATAATTTGCTTAATTATTTTTATATAACTTGTGGAGTTCGCATGTCCGCGATACAAATTATTGTGTGGTATTCAGCCATAATATTTTACTTAATTTAATCCAATTTTCTCGAAATTTTACACTGTTTCTTGCGGAAAAAAAAAACGTTAATTTTGCCGAGTCCATCCCTCTCCGCCACGTGAGATTGGGTGAGATTCGCCTCGACTCCCTCCCCCCTTAAACACCTCACGTAATTAATGGACGCCCCTAACTAAGCGACATATATTCCAAGCAGACTTATAGGAAGTATTATTCCAAAAAGATTAAATCTTTTTGATTTTGAAAATAATACAATCTACATCAAATCATTCACATGCCAAGTCCGTAAAAAAATCATAGTTCTCTATTCGTCTATTAGTTCCTGATATAGCAACCAATTAATTAAGATATTCATGACCGTAATGAATCTTCCCGTAAACCACTACTTCCCTAAACTATCCTGAACTAAGAGTACCGCGATTGAAACTATAGGCCTACTAAATTAAATTGTTTTTTTTAATAGGATTAGAGTGAGAAACGACCACACAGTTCACCTGATGGTAAGTGGTTGTTGTGGCTCATAGAAATCTACATCTATCCTCGATTAAGAATCAAAATGCAGATGCGTTGTCGCCTGTGAGAACTAAGATGGAATGCCTCGTTTCCAGTTTAAAGGGTCGCCGGTTCTCTACACTCACCATACGAAACACAGAGTGTTAAGCTGCTATTTTACGCTGGTATTCTGTGAGAGCGTGGTCCTTCCCCGGTCAATCCAACCCATTCGTGCTACAACTATACTACTAATATAGCTGCAGCATGGCTCTACTACGTATAAAAAGGTTCTTGAGTGGCAGCCTCATACCGGAAGGCGAAGTGTTGGGCGTCCCCCCACTAGATGAAGTGACGACCTGGTAAGACATGCAGGAAGTCAATGGATGCAGGTGGCTCGGAACCGTGCTTTCTAGCATTCTTTGGGGGAGGTCTATGTTCAGCAGTGGCTTGTGATGTGCTGTATGATGATGATGATGATATCTATGCACAGTATATGAATCATTTTATATTATGTTATTATTTATTTGTATTTTCTTTAATACAAACATATATACAAATTCAGAAATCGGTAAGTAAAACACAGTAGCTTATAGAAATTCTTTATTTTTGTTTATAATAGTTAAACATGTTGTTACCTTAAGATTTAAACTGCAATTGCTATTTATTGAGTACATAACTTTAGACGAGGATATAATTTTGATTTATTTTTAATGCCAATAGCTGGCCTTTTTATAAAAGTAAATATCACAGTTATTATTAAATTATTTGTGACCAAAAGAAATTGTAAAACGTCTACTACAGTCTACACTAAAATAATGAGCGACTTGAGAGGTATAAAAATGCTTATTAGTACAAGTCACCTCTACACGTTATGTTACTTATAGTAATGTCTATATTACTTATAATATTTAATGCAATAATAATCCACACTTTATAATTTGTTTCTGCTGATTGCACAAGAGTATTATTAATATACATAATTAGCAAAATTGTAAACAATCGAGTAGTATATATATTATAATATGGAAGAAGAATATTCGGCTTACAAACGAATGCTTCGCTACATTAGACATTAGATACAGAGATATATTTAGAACAGATACAACAGCAAGATATAAAAATATTAAGTTGAATTTATTCTGTACAATAACTAACTATAATAAGCACCATTATCATACCATAGGCCCTATGGCATAGGGCTACCGTTCTTTTCCATTCATAAATTGGCAACACAAGCAAACATGTTGTTAGTATCTCATATCTTTAACAAGTCTCATAAGGCCATACATTTTATTTTTTAAGCTACCATTTATATAATGTTGATGAGTATATATTTAATTACCACAATGATGAGAACTATGTTGACTAATTTAATTTACAAATTACAGTATATGTGTACCTCTTAACCAGCATAAGAGATGTATGAACTATAATCATAGCTCAATATTATTAAATATTTTACACCACAAATCATTATATTTAGGATAATTAGCTTTATGTCTACTAAGGCATTCTTGTGGATATAATCTGTGTGATAAATTTGTAAATCTAGGCCTGTATAAAAATATTTATTGGTATTTGGAAACCAATGCTCAGTAGTAGGTATCAACTGAAAAGAGTGACGTCAAAGACATGCATTATTATTATTTTTAAGATGTTTTACTATAGTTGTGATTTATAAAATCAACGAATTTTAAAATTTAGTTATATTCCTACTAGTTAGCTACATCAGAGGATATTCGGGCAGCAAGAAATTTGGAGAATATATATGTCATAGTTAAAACTCATAACCGGTCAAAACCACTTTTGACTGTAAAAATCAGGTAAAAACCAATTTTGATTTTTACCTGATTTTTTGTTTTGACTGATTTTTGTAGTCAAAAGTGGTATTAACCATCGTTCTTAGTCCAAAGTTGTGTTGTCTGATTTAAACTTCAGACTATCGGTCAAAACTCGCAATATAAGTAACAGTATGTGAAGTTACGGCTGGAGTGGCCCAAGGGCCACCCTAAAGCCACGTACATTACAACGATATAAAATATAATATTGAAAAAAAAATTGAACTTTTTAATTTCAGAAATTTAAAAAATATAAGTCAAAAGAAGTTATGAATAACATTGTTGGTCAAAATCACTTTTGACTGCAAAAATCAGGTAAAAGTGGTATTGATCAACATCATTAGTCAAAACTACTTTTGTCTGATTTTTTACAGTCTAAAGTGGTTTTGACCGGTTAGGAGTTTTGACTATCTGGATGTCGCGCTGTGCCTGAATCACCGAGCTAGGCAACCAAGTGAGACAATTACAACAGCTCTTTCAGGACTGAACTGATTCCATTTTTTTATCACGAACAATATAAAAACTAAAAAGGGTTTTTGTGGTTATGTCTGCATGTTTTTATTTTACTTTTAATATTTGTAAGATTGTCTAATAAAGTCGGATTACCGGACAGTTTTAGTAATTTTAGAGAGTTCGTAGTATTCAAATTATTTAAAATAATAAAAAATGGGAATATGGCAATGTTATAGTTTGTATAATTTGTGTTCCAGAGAGAAAACAGAGAAAAAAGAAGAAACAGAAGAGAAAACGTTTGTATAGACTATCGACTAAAACGCCCATGATTAAAATGTAGTGATTATATACTCTACCGCTGATATCCTCTAAGCGACACAAAAATTTCAAAGAATAATATTGAGTATATTTAAAGTATGTATTACATATAAATTGTGATTAATGATTATAAATCTGTGATATTCAGTTGATGATTAGACATTACATACGACCTGTATTCTCAGTATATGCCTAGTCTACATTATATTCTAAGCACGCACATGACGTAATTAAAACACATAACTCAAGTCTTAGAAGCGCCACCTAGTGGTCGAAATTACTACTCCTTACTATGCATTAAGAGGATAGCATAATTTTTAGTATGAATACAACACAAACTGTACAGAAGCTAAATAAATGGTGTTATGTACCTTACATCATAAAAACCAAGCACTCGATCATGTTGAGATCAAAATGTACATATAATATTAAAATTATGCTTCATCTACTAGAATTATCCTAACGCGTATTACACAATATTACGAACGCGGTAATAAATTAATACTAAGACGGGCAATGCAAAGTTTGCGCATTTATGTAAATTATTAAATCTAATATTTTTCAGACATACAATCGATATGTACTTGTTGACTCATTTTGGATTAGCGGCGCATTGTACATTTTAATTTTGAATGTTACGGCTTAGATATTAATTTTGTTATTATCGATAATATGTGGCGAAATAGACGCAAAATCTCTCAGATTTTTTAAAGATAATGTTTCAAAAATGTTATGTTAACCATCGTTGATGATAAATTATTGCGTAAAAATAACTCACATATTAAAAGAATATCATTGCTGTTTTTGTTCTGGTTATATTCCGCTAAAATAACATGGATGCAAATAATGAAGGTTTTGAGCTATGCTTGTCATGTAGCGCGGAAGTGACTGCATATGGAATGCATACCGTCGCACAGGTTAGTTTAATTTGAAATACGTTTATTAACATCAGATGAACCATCCTTCGAGTTTTCGATATAGCAGCGTGGGGAAGATGGAAGAGGTGTGCGGCGGTGCTGGTGCTGGGGGAGCGCAGTGTGGTGTTGGCCACGAGCTGCGCTGAAGAATGGTTAAGACTGCGTATAGGTACACTGCGCGGCACAGAACTGTATCAATAGAAATACGTTTAACATAAGTATCGAGCGATAGTAGCGAGTACAAGTTACGCGGAGAATACGAAACTTTCGGTGTGTGGTGTAGCGGCGGAGTTGGGGGAATGCAACGTAGAGCGGACGCGGGCAGCGTTCTGAAGACTGCGTGTACACAACGCGGCACAAGTTAGTATCATTAGAAACAAGTTTAACATAAGACGTATCGAGCGATGGTTGCAAGTAGGAGTAACGCGGGGAATACAAAAGCTTCGTTGTGTGTTGTAGCGGCGGAGCTGGGGGAACGCAACGTGGAGCCGGGCGCGGGCAGCGCTTTGAAGGGTGCGCGCCAGCCGACGCGCTCCGCGGGGCAGCTCATCCAGATCGGCGCTGATAGTTTTTGTTTCTCGTGCTCCACGCGCATTTGCAGATCGTTGAACTTCCAGTAGCCCTTGCCTTTGAAGAAATACGTTTTGCCTGCGGATATGGTATCATTATATTAATAAATGAATGTAAATAAATGTAACATTTTCTAATAGGTATTAACCTATTAAATTTTAGAAAATTTTACATTTCACAATTAGAGATTTGCATATCGATATTCATGCGTCACATCGTTTTTTTACAATGTACTACCGTAAAGGCCAAGTTTTTAATTGGTAAGTTTATTACCAAGTTTTTTAATTAGCAAAATAATGTAGATAACTTTTTTGTTAATTATTGTGAACATAATAACAAAGTTCAAAAGTCCTATATTGTGAACCTTTAAGCTTTTTCTAAATAAAAGTGAACAATTACTGCGTCATATTATAGTTTTATAACTTATCACGCAGTAATTGTTCACTTCTCACATCATTGACGATGAACTTCTGAACCGAGCCACTGCTAGCAAAGTTATTCATTCATTCATTCATTTATTATAGCTTGTCCACTGCTGAACACAGGCCTTGTCATATATTGCCTCATATGGAGTATATTTCCACAGCTTCCACGCTTGGCAGGTAGGTTAGCAACTGCAGTTATTTATTATCTAGATGTTATCAATGAAGATGATGCTCATCTCCTAGTTTATCATCCATCCCACGGGGCGATATGTGGTAGTGGATATTATTATCTTCACCGCCACTACACAGTCAACATTTGATTATTGTTGTATCATGAGTTGTACAGTTATTGGTTGACATTTTGTATTTTTTTTATTTTAATATAACGCTTACTGAGGAAAGGCAATGGGTTTTTACTTTTTTTACACTGAACGATAAAATTACCATTCGTAATTTTCAATTTTTTCGATCCGATATAGCACACTACTGTATTTAGTATGCTATAATGCGGCTAAATTCGAGGATTTTTTACATGATATTAAGTGAGTTTTAATGAATCCGTAACGCGGATTCAATAAACTGGTTTTATTGAATAGTTTTTGTTTATTACCGTCTTTCCACTGAAATACGCTGTCTATATTATAACCGACGCCTTTCCACATAGCCATGTCACGTGGATAATCTAACTCAACACGCCCTTCATCTTCATCAAACCTGAAAATTAATAATAAATTTGTTAGTTGGGGTTTGTTGCATTACAAATGTAAATAATATATATAAACTCTCACGCCTGTTACCTAGAAGGTAGGCAGAAACTACAGACTTCTATTTGTCATGATCCTGACACACCTTTCTCGCTTCTTTTATATTATCATAATCATAATAATCTTTATTCAATAATAATTGATGATTATATCATTATATCCATATACGAGTACATGTTCATCGGTTATACCATCTTCAATAAATCACTAATTTGGTCGACAAACTTCCGTCTAGTGTGAAGTCTAGTAGTGAAAAAAAAAGTTTGCCATTCACTTCTGTATTATAAACATTTCTTTATTATAATTTGCTTCGTCACTCTTTCCTCATTCATTCTTTCTACGTGTCCAAACATGTAAATACATAGTTGTAAATAGTCTTCGGTTAGTCTTTAGAATATAATACAGCTGTTTTTATCATAATATGGGAAATATTATGTCTAAAAACGTTTTATAGGATTAGAGTGACAAACGAGGGCACAGTCCACCTGATGGGAAGTGGTTGTTGTGGCCCATAGACATCTAAATCTATCCTCGTTTAAAAATCAAAATGCAGATGCGTTGTCACCTGTAAGGACTAAGATGGAATGCAGGAGAAATTCCTAATGTAGATTGCCTTTTTTTTAAATAAAAGAGACCGAAAAGAGGTTTGTTACAGTGCATGCTGAAGAAATTGTAAATGAATTTCGTGGGTTTTTGTTAAATTCCCTTTCAAGCAGGTCTCACGATGTCTGCTTACACCGTTGAGTTTCTAGTACATCAGCGCATAATCTGCTACTTTCAATTTAACGATGTCAGATTATTGAACAAAACAAAAAAACTATGTGTACCATTGACATTTCGAATAAAATTAGTTTTATTATATTAAGAAATTATAAATTATTTTATTAAAACTTACTTCCAATACATTGTGCCGCTGTAGAAGTATGTCTTGCCGTTGTGTCCCCATACCATAGCAGCGTCTAATTTTTCTAAACTATCGGGTAAACCTAGTTTCACTAAGCGTTTCGGATATCCCGGCAATAAGTACTGGGAGTCAAACAAGTACAGCTCTTTACCTAAAATGAATAAATATTAAGTTTTAGGGTGAATGTTTTCAAATCTTGATAGAAACCTTTAAAGCGTTTGTTAGAAGAACCGAACATGACACCTCTTATTGTTTCATGGATAACACTGTAGGAACAAAAGTATATTGACTATATAGATCTATAATAACATTATATAAATACCCTTAGTTTACTCGTACATATTGTGTACTCTAGTTTAACAAGTTTATTCTAGTCCTAGCATTTCCCGAATCGGGCTATTGATGATCCAGGAAAAGCTAGAATGGTGTAACAAATATAGACACTGTAAACACGTCTTATGGCAATAAATACTCGTACATATCCGAGTCTTATTCCATGTCCGCTTCAGAGTATTCAATAATATAATTATTGCTCACAATAAATCTAAAATTGCTCAAGGGTGATGATCAATGTGATCAGAAACATTAACTGTGTAGCTAAGAAGAATATAATATTACATGCGTTAACTGTTGAAATACATACGTACCAACAAAGATAGCGATTTTTCTGTCTGGTCTCTCATACACGGCGTCTACGTGTGTAAGATTCTTTGGTAGACCAGACCACATTCTTGTTATCTCAATTGGGTAATCAGGATAATGACCTGAAGCTCCTATCCTCCAATGATACTGTAAATAAAGTACAAATGATTATTTTTTATTTTTTAATTTTTATTAATTAATAATTAATATAAAACAAAAAAGAGTATTTGATTCTGAATGCGATTCTGTCTGTTTATACTATCAACTTCCTATTAGGTGAGGTACGAGGATTTTTATAATTTGCATGAGTTTTCTTTTGGTTGAAATTATTTACAGAATTTATTTAATGAAAACTTCATCAAGTATAGAATACAGGTTTCATGCGTGTGCATGTGTTTTCGTTGTATACTTTTCATTTTAGTTTTATTTCTGTTCCATTCTTATCATTGCCTTATGGTTTATAGGCAAAGATAAGCTAGCCTTTTCATCCTATATATTTTATATTACTTAATTCAAATTACGTCCCAGGTTCTATATCCAGTAGTTACATACTATACTTATTAAAGATAGAAAACTATTGCTAAAATATGAATAAAATTAAAATGTTAAAGTTACAGCCAATATAAATCCCAGTGCTGGGCACAGGCCTCCTCTTATTTATGAGAGGGTTTTAGGGAAAGGAAATGTCTTCTGCGCTGTCCCAATTAGGGTTGCCATCTAAAATGAAAAAGCCGGACTCGGCGATCCAAAAAGCCGGACTTTTGGCCCTAAAAGCCTGACAGTAATTTTTAGTCAAACATACCTTTCTGAGGCCGTGCAGCCCCCCTCCGGAAAAAAAATACTCCGTTACATACAAAATGAACTTACCCTATTTTTAAATATAAATAGTTCGTTGCGAATAAGTGCAACAGCGTCATAACTAGTGTCACAAGCGTCAGGTTTATCTGGTGGAGGTGTTGTATGCGGTGGCGTAGCACGCGGCCTCATCGTAGTCTTGACCGGATAATACGGTTTTTTCTTCGGATAATCATGGCGCGGTTCAGTCGGATAATTAGGCCTGGGATAACTTGGATACTCAGGACGGATATGAGGATACTTAGGACGGTATGTTGTAGCGTGAGTAGTAGTTTCAGTTGGTCTTGGATAGTGATTGTGATTCGTGTGGCGGGGATGCTCTTCACTAGTGTTATAGTGACGTCGATCCGGATAATACGATGGTCTTTCAGGATAAGAAGGCCTTTCAGGATAGCTCGGTCGCTCCGGGCTAGACGGTCTCTCTGGATAACTCGGTCTTTCTGGATAACTTGGTCTCTCCGGATAGAACGTTGGATATTTGTTTGGATTGCGCGGGTACGGAGTGTAAGGACGATGGTTTGGATGACGCTCTGGGTGGTTGTAGTGATGGTGGTGAATGTATGGCCTTCTAGTTGTCGTTGTAGTAGTAGTGGTAGTGGTAGTGGTAGTTGGTGGAGGGGTTTCTATGGGACGGTAATAAGGTATCTTTCCCCATTTCCTTTCGTTTTCTTTAGAACCTAAAAAAAAATAACATTTAAAAATATTCACACATTAATGCGTAATAAAAAAATATTAAAGCAATACTTACCATACATTTGCTGGATGCCATTACGATCGTCTTCTGGTAAAACGAAATTAGGTTGGATACCTTGATACCAAGGAAACATAAGCGCGCCTTTAACCGAACTATGGCTTAGACCTAGAGAATGTCCAAACTCGTGGGCAGCCACGGCGAATAACGATGTACCTGCAATAGGAATCAAGATTACTAAGTGGACTTGAAGTCAATTCAATATACAAATAAGGTTTGTTCACAAAAGCATTACTCCACATTTTTACGACTTGATCACCAAGTCAAATCGCCAAAATTTATCTTTTATCTGTATACTTGTACATATAAATAAAATTGAAGTGTCTATCTGTAATATCGAGATAACTGGCTTCTATTAAGTTCAGGGGGTTATTTACCCGCTATTAAGGTATGTATAACCATTGTTAAAATTTGTTTGCCTGTCTGTATGTCTGTTCGGGCTAATGTTCGGAATAGCAAAACCGATTGTGATGAAACTGCACAAACAGATACAGAGTAATGCTCGAAGTTATCTGGGCTATACTTTATCCAAAAAACATTCAGGATTTTTTCTGATCTTGAAAAACTGATAAAATAAATGGTTTTTGATAATATCCCATAAACTATACAACATATTATAAAAATACTTTATCTTCGATCATTTAAAGTTATTGTACAAATAGATTTTTAGCATATTTTTACTTCAACACCTTTCTACAACACAACTAAGAGTGCTAAAGGATAAGGTGATTATATAAAGTGATTAGATCTTTTTACGTTAAATTATATTTGTATACATATAATCCCATATCGTTTATCTAAGTTTAAAGAGGTTTTTGGATGATTGAGCCATTTGCTCAAAATACTATTACACTATTATATCTGCAGGCTTTTTTGAGTTCTACGCGGATGAAGTGGCGTAAAAGCTAAGTATTTGTTAAATGAAAAATCTACCTATATCATCATCATCACCATCATTATCGTAACAGTCCTTCAAAAGTTCATTGCTGAACATAGGAGGACTCTCAAGGAATGTCACAAAACACGGTCCGCCTGCGTCCACTGAGTTTGTCGGTAGCTCTGATTCTACTGCTATCATCTGGATATCAGATTCTTATAGATTCTCATCACGCAGGGAAACTTCGAGCCCTCTCTATAGCTTGCTTAGCGACTTAGAACCTTCGTTGGTATAGGAGTATTTTAAATAATTTAAAAAATTGTCAAGTCAAAAAAATGTAAAGTGCCTAATTTCTAAGGGATTAATTTGCAATATACAGAAGTTTGAGTCTATTGTTGGCATTATAACAATTTTACGTAGGCTTAATCCACGAGGCAGTTCTCGGCTTTCTAAATGGGACGCAACGACCTTTGCCGCCCTTGCTACGTCTATGTTTGTGTAAATTAGCACGTGTACAGGAATATGCGTAGCGGGCGTGTCTACTCTGCTGCGGTTTCTCTTCGCATTGAGCATTGAGCGGATGCAATGGATTAATCTGCAACGACTGTCCTCTGATACTTCAAGACACGTGCGCTGGATGTATTCCGTGATTGCGATTTTGTTCATTAACCCGTCTGTGTGTTGGCATGCAGTGCAAAGGTTACGTGCGATACTTAATAGCTCAACTTCGATGCATCTGAGTACTGATAAGCTGATTAGTAGTATTTATCCGTATAAAGAAGTTACCATCTGTGACTTTAAGCAATCGTGATTACAAAGCCTGGTGTTTATTTTTTTATCTTTATTAAAAAACGTTACCCCTACACCCTAGTGTAAAAATCCTAATTTTCTTCTGCATCGTGGAGGCAGTTTTTTTATAGGATAGGGTGACAAACGGGCACGCAGTCCACCTGATGGTAAGTGGATGCTGTGACCGATAGACATCTACATCTATGCAGATGCGTTGTCAACCGTGAGGACTAAGATGGAATGCCTCATTTCCAGTAAAAAGGGTCTCCGGTCCTCTACCCTCACCATACGAAACATAACAGTGTTAAGCTGCTATTTTACGTTGGTATTCTGTGAGAGCGTGGTCCTTCCCCGGTCGAGCCGACCCATTCGTGCTACAACAATACTACTAATGTAGCTGCAGCATGGCTCTACCACGTACAAAATGTAACGTAAGTTTACAAACATACCCGTAAATTGCACAAGGACAAACATCAAGACCCGGAACAATTATTTGTAGGTTATACAAATACTTGTTCTGTGCGGGATTCGAACCTTTGCTAAGCTAACTGTAACGCAGCCGTCTAATTTTATTGACTTTTAATATTAAGGTCGTTGGAAGTTTTAAACAAAAGGTTTCGTGTTTCTAATTAACATTATCGAGATAGTTAAACGAGTATTTGAAAAATCGTTATAAAGGGAAGCGAACGTTAACAACATAGGTGTGCAAGCAAGCGTCGTTACCGCACCCCGCCATTTGCATGTCAAAACAACGCTGACCGCGACATGCTCATTTCCGAACGAACTTTTCGCGGAAAAACTACGCTTTCGACTGAAGCTTAATTAACTGTCTCATATATGGGCTTTTCATGTCAAAGTAGGTTTATGTGCCTTTTATTTTAAATGCCAGCTTAATGCGTTTGTATGGGGTATTGTGTTTTAATTATTAGAATTCACAAAAATGTTACACACGATATTTAAAGTAAAAACTTAGAATTTGCGACTATAACAACAGTGAGGGAATCGCAAAGGATACATCTTTTATTTTGTTATTAGTATCAATTAAAGGCTTTTTAGAATTATTTTTTGTTCCGGGTATATAATAATACCTACAAATTGCACGTGTATAATCTTTTTCAAAATTACTTAAGGAGATTTGAGGTTAGAGAGTAAGTTTAGGGCTAGATTAAGAAAACGATCAGAACAAAATCATTGCTCAACGTGTTTCTTACCTTCTTCATCATCATTCTTGGGCTGTAGCAGCCATAGTTCATCATCGTCAAAGTGTGCGTCGCCGCCGCGTCCCGATCCGGGGAAGAACGCGTGCGCAAGGATCGAGCCTCGTCCGTCGAAAGGATACGCATCATCGTGGTAGCGCCTGTGATAAATAAAAATGAATATAAACTACTAAAGTCGACAGAAATATATAGGATTTTGTACCTATAATAACAATATCCTCTAACCAAATTTCGGTCACAGCGGCCAGTCTGAACGGAGTCTGCGCAGAACAGGATTATAGTGCCCGAGTATATGCGCAAGCACAGGTGCACTCTCTATTCACTCACTCCATAGTACAATGGAACGGTAATCTGACAAGACCGCAGAGAGAACATACGTAGTACCAATGGCTTTACGTGTTTTTTGAGAGACGGGAGTGAAATACCGCCAACTTCCTTACTCTGGACTACTCCTAAGAATTTCTTGATAGAAAACGCATTGATTTTCTGGCCCACCCTACGGTTAGGTCTGCGGTAATAAAACAAATATATTTTCGGATCTAAATATATTGCAGTTGGCTACATGCCTCTAGCAAAGCTTAAGTAATAAAAATCTTTAATAATTAATGCATGAAATTAAAAAAATAAATAAACGGGAATGTGCTGATAATTAAGTGCTTCAGCATTTTTTTAATAGGAAAAGGGTTACAAACGAGCACACAGTCCACCTGATGGTAAGTGGTTGCTGTGGCTCATAGACATATAAATCTATCTTCGATTACGAATCAAAATGCAGATGCGTTGTCACCCGTGAGGACTAAGATGGAATGCCTCGTTTCCAGTTAAAAGGGGTCTGCGGTTCTCTACACTCACCATACGAAACACAGCAGCGTTAAGCTGCTATTTTACGCTGGTATTCTGTGAGAGCGTGGTCCTTCCCCGATCGAGCCGACCCATTAGTGATACAACTATACCAGTAATATAGCTGCAGCATGGCTCTACCACGTACATAGCTTTGCTTTTAAATTCTTCCTCTCAGATAACAACAGTAGAATAGTTCACAACTAGATGGATTGCTGACTTGGTTAGACGTGCATCATGCAGGAAATATATCGATGCGGGAGGTTTAAGGCCATGTAGCATTTCTTAGGAGAGCCTATGTTCAGCAGTGGACTTATGAAGGGTTGTAATAATGATGATGATAATGATGATTATAAGTAATATATAAAGTACAGGGTCGACGAGTGTATCTCTTTGTAAAACAATATGTTAAAATTTATTTTTAGTTATATGTAAAATATCGTTAAAAATTGTAAAATAGTTATAGATAAATAGATGTAATTTAATAAAAATAAAGTTAGAGACCGCGTTGTTCATAATATCTAATTTCTGCTTGCCCTAATTAAAGGAAGATATCTGTTGAAAATTAGCCCCCATTTGCCTACTAGAGTGACCCCCATTTTTGACACTAGGTATACACTAATAATACTAGTTGCACTAATATCGATTTTCAAAATAGTTTGTTAGAAAACCGGCCCATGTTATGAATGCGTTTGCGCTGTACTTTATCTTGTAAAGTTGTCGAGATACCTAATTTAAATAGTCATATAGGAATAACGTATTCATTGTGCAACAAACAACAACAACTTCAGTGGATAGAGTCTGCAGAGCAATCAAACTTGCCTCCCTCGGGTCTCGCTCGGACACTACCCACCTAATCATTTTTCCCGCTAACAAAGTAGCGGAAAGACTGATGCATATTTCACGCATTATTAGCGAGGTTGCATTATTGAGTTTCCGAAGTTAAAGCTCCAGTCATAACAAACTGAAGTTGATATGGCAGGGCCGTGTAGTCCAATGGAGTGTTCAATTTGATTGTGAGAGATGTTGTTATGTTCAGTATCAAGTTGTTGAATACAGTATGTAATAACTTACTCGTGAATACTACACATTGAGAAAAACTATTTTTAATTCCGGATTTTATCGCATTTATTTATCTTTTATATATATTATTTCACTTACGATATATTATAAAAAAATACATTAATTTTAAATTAAAGGAAGCCGTGGTTAGCTATGATATTGGAACGTCGAGCACCTCAGTCCCCCATGGGCGCTGCAAAATATAGTCGCAAAGTTGTGTAAATGTCGCAGCCTACTAGCTTGATTAAGAATGTTCTATACGAATGTAATCCAGCGTTTCAACAGAGGTGACCTTGGTGGGAGCTTGGTTTCCAACGCCGCCAACACGGTCGAACTTCACTGTGAATCGCGCTCACGTACAAGGAAGATGTAGAAATTGCTTCTAATTTGTCCAAATTTCAAAAGGTGGGCCTTGCTTTAGCAGGTTTGTGTGCAATTGAAGAGGGAAAAGAAAGAAAGAAAAGAAAATGGATAAAGCGCTAAAGAATCGATTAATACTCAGCCATTCAAACTTGTTGGAGTTATTGGACGTGAATTGTATTCATAACTTTTTGTATTGTTCAGCAGTGGGTGGACTTGTGAAGGGCTGTAATGGTGAGAGTGTCCCAAGGGCAGCCCAAGCCGCGTTCTAACCTACTGTCGCTGATATTACAAGATAGGTGCAATTTTTTATTAGACGCATCGACTGAATATCATCCAGGTCACTAGTTGAACGGGTAAAAGCGAGGCTGTTAGCTGAAAGGCTAATTAAACTAGTTGGCTGCGACACTATATAAAAAAAGAAAATTAAACGCAATCAAATACGTAAAATCTATATAGCTTCATTCAATTACTAACTGTTACTTCTAAGTAAATAACTTAATAAAACGAATGTTGATCTGGATGCACTTGCACGCGATGCACGCCAGTTGCTAAAGAGGTCCATATCATCATCATCATCATTACAGCCCTTCACAATTCCACTGCTGAACATAAGCCTCCTCCAAGGAATGCCAGAGAGCACGGTCCTGAGGCAGCTGCATCCATCGACTTCCTGGATCTGAGACGTGGTCCTTCACTGCTGGCCGTATGAGGATGCTCAAGGTCGCTCAGCGAGCTATGGAGAGGGCTATGCTCCGAGTTTCTCTGCGTGATAAACTTAGAAATGAGGATATCCGCAGTAGAACCAGAGTGACCGACATAGCCCTACGGATTAGTAAGCGGAAGTGGCAATGGGCCAGCTATATAGCTCGAAGAACCGACAACCGATGGGGAAGAAAGGTTCTCGAGTGGCAGCGTCGTACCGGTAGGCGAAATGTAGGGTGACCCCCCCACTAGATACAGTGACGACCTGGTAAGACATGCAGGAAGAGGTCCAGAACAGTCAATTTATATAGACTGATAAAGTAAGAAAACGATTTAAGCGTTATCACTTCAATTAGGTTATATAGCCCAATGACTGCCTCGTTGTTCTAGTGATTGTAGTAGTGCAACTGCTGATCATAAGGTCCCGAGTTCGACTCCCGGATCAGGTTAAAAAAAACCAGTTATCGAGATTTTCAACAAATAAACTCTCAGTAGCTGCTCGGAGCCAGGAAGTTGGCGGTGTCTCGCCCCCGTGCCTCGTAAAGCACGTTAAGTCCTACGCCCAAAGATGTTTTACATCTTTGCCTACGCCTGATCTCCTTTCGGTCGTGTCGGTTTACCATCCCATCGGACAATGAGAGTGAAGGAATAGCGAGTGCACCCGTGTTTGCGCATACACTTGCGCACTACAATCCCATACTGCGCCGTTGGCTAGTCTTCGTTGAGGCTGGCCGCCGTGACCGAAATTCGGTGTGGAGGACATTATTATTATTATATAGCCTAATGGATCAGTTAGCTGAAGATGCAATGTATAAATATATGCATATATAGGTACAAGAACCGAGAACCAATAGTGAAGAAAGATTTTCGAGTGGCAGCCTTGTACCGGTAAACGAAGTACAAGACGGCCTCCCACTAGATGGAGTGACGACCTGGTAAGCTATACAAATGGCTCAAGACCGTGCTTTGTAACGTTTTTCAGTGGAGGCCTATGCACCACAATGGACTTGTGAAGGGATTTTTGTAGAAGTAAAGATGACAAACGAGCACACATTCTATATTCTTATTTAAATGCAGATGCAGTGTCACCCCTGAGAACTAAGAATGTCTCGTTAACAGTATAAAGCGTCTACGGTTCTCATCACTTCCCAAACGAAATACAACAGCGTTATGTCGTTATTTTACGTTGGAATTCTGTTTGAGCGTGGTCCTTTTCCCACAGTATAGCAGGCTATTATGGTTGTAGCACGAATGGATCGGCTTGCTCGGGGTAGGACCACGCTCTCACAGAACTCCAGCGTAAAATTATTGGTATGCTGGTTTAATGCTGCTGTATTTCATGTAATGAGTGTAGAGAACCGGAGGCCCTTTTTACTGGAAATGAGGCATTCCATTTCAGTCTTCACGGGTGACAACGCATCTGCATTTTGATTCTTAATTGAGGATAAATGTAGATGTATATGGGCCACAGCATACATTTTCCATCAGGTAGACTGTGTGCTCGTTTGTCACCCTTATTGTGTAAAAAAATTAAACTAACCAGACGTTTACATATTATGTACAATAGCACCTCATGGATGTCTATGTTCTAATTTCCTTTGATATTACTTCAGCTCAGAAACCAGATATCCTGCAATTTATAACTAAGTATTTTAATTTCTATGCTCTCTATGCAGTATTACAGTCATAGTTTCAAAACTTTTGCGATCAGAGTTCCCAGTTATAGCTTTTAATAAAATTGCCATTTAAATATCTATAGAACTAAAGGAATGCGATATGGCTGTCGCGAACAAGAGTTGCAGTAACTACTACCACAGAATAAATAATAGTACTACTTGGGTCTAGTTTTAGAATTGGCTATTGACAACAAATGTTGCGGTTTTGATTATTGGCATAGGGTAGTGTGTGGCAAGCTCGTTGAACTGAGTTTATATGCAACATACTTATTTTTATGTCTAAAATCGCTAATTTTATCTATAAAATCCCCCCCCCCCCCCCTCACATCAGTCCACACCAGGACTTTCTTCTGTATTGTAGAGGCGTTTCATATACATAAATTATTAGCCAGCCCCGGATTATTTATTTGTAGGGCATTCGGTTTACCCTATGCCGCATACCAATAATTTTTCTGTGTGGGAATAGAATTCGCCACCTGCAGAATCGTACTTTAAGG